GGAGAGGGGAAGAACAAGACCGCCTGCATACCGCTTTCCCCCAGCCGACTAGCCCCCTGTAATGGGAGGCGGCGCGGCCGCGGGCTTCATACTCGAATCTAGAGGGAACAGATATGTTAGTTATCTCCATGCTGGAACACGAAAGTAAAGACATAGTCAAACCACCAATTTTCCTGCCGGGGTTCGGCTTGAGGCGGCTTGGGTGATCCATCGGTATCTTCTGTGAGCAGTTGCCCACAAGCCAGTACTCGGCGGCCACCGGCCGCTTCAGTTTCCGCAGCTGTTGTGGGTTCCGCTGCGTTCGGGTCGTCAAGTTGCAGGCAGTGTGACGTCCCGGCCCCGGTCGTCTTGGTAGTAGTCTGAGCTTTTCGCGGTGCTTGATTGCTTGCTGCCGGATCTCCAGCACCCTGCTTCTGGGGAGTGATACCAGGACCGCTGATAGAGATCCCCTCCACATAGGCCGATCTCCGGGTCGGGGTCCCCCTTGCCTGGCCGACTTGGCCCGGTCTTCTTCTGCCCGCACTGTGGTTGAATGCTGATGGGCATTGTGACAGCTGGGCTCCTGGGCTGTTAGACTTGTCGTCAGTCAGTAACCAGTTGACAACTGCTTCGCATACAGAGATCAGACCTACCTTTGAAGCTCGAGATTGAATATAAATCGACGTCAACGATGGACGTGATATTGGTGGGAGTGAAGCGGATGTCTAGCGACTTTAGAGCGTGCCCGAAGACTCCAAACTTGTCAACTTGTTGCTGATTGTGGGCTCAAGGTTTGCTGATCGTAGGTCAGGAAGGATTGGGGCAAGACTGAAAATAACTGTCGACGCTTGGGGTTCGAGTTGAAAGTAACTCAAATAGTCAATATGTGAGCTTGGTAAGTGTAACGAAACTCTAGAAGAGAGACCTGAGTTGCTGATGCTTGCGAGAGACAGTGGGAGGGAGAGAGTTCAGAGTGGTCTGTGGTGGTTTAAATAACTTAAAATTGGCAGACTCTTCTCGCTGACGATGCTCCCACTGTGGGGCACCCACTTTATCTGTTCACTCTTTGTGAGTTTTCAGGTGAATAATAATAGCAGAGCAACCAGATGTGGGTTTAGAAGAGCGACTTGTTGGTCACAGGGGGGCTGGAGAGAGATGGGTGGAAGTGAATAGTGCGTCGCTGCCAAATTTTGCTCTGGCAGAAGCAACTTATTAGAGGGCTTTGGGTGGTTGGGTTCTGTCAGCAAGTGAATTGGCAGGTGTAGGTGAATAAGTAGGTCGTTAAAGCTAATGTTGATATCAAAAAAATAAAGGAGTCCACAAAAGCTTGGCTCCTTTTGACCCACACTTTCAAGCTCGCCCTGTCGCACCAATTCTTCTTCCTGCACCACAACACCAGCTTTCGCAACTCCTCATCACCATCGCTTCGCCTCCTCTCAAACCAGTCAAAAGAGACGAGCTCATTCTGCAAAGCTCGTTGTGATCCAAACCTCTCTCGCCCCGCGCCCATTTGCAACATCACCACCAGCGATCAGTCGCATCACAAGATGGAGATCACCGGCAGAAATCAGGACGCGACTTGGTCAGACAGCGACCACACAAACTCAATCTCTCCCAGCGAAACCGCTTCATTTAAAGATGCCGAAGCTCAGGCTCCCCCTCCTCTGGAGAATGAGAAATACTACGAGGCTGAACATCGTGGCGGTGTCGAAGATCCCAACGATTACTATCCCAGCGGCTTCCATCCCGTCCTTCTGGGTGATTTTCTGGGCAAGAGCAGTCGATTCCGGGCCATCAACAAACTAGGAGCCGGCGCACACGGCACGGTTTGGCTTTGCAGAGACAGGGCCACGGCCAAATGAAGGGCCGTCAAAATCTTTTCTGCGAAGGTCTCGCGTCCGACAGCCGACATCGACCCCCACGAGCTTCCAGATCACCGAACCACTGCAATGGCAGACATGGTCATCTCTAAGCACCTTGCCAAATGGTACCAGCCAGACGACCCAGCCCTTAGAAAACATCACATCGGCATCCCACTTGAGTACTTCCGGATCAATGGTCCGAATGGCAAGCATCTCTGCCACGTTTCGCCTTTTATAGTCCCACCATTGAACACGTCCACGACCTGTACTCGCCCTGTCAGTCCTTCCTGAAAGCCATCGCCTATCAGATGGTTCATTCCATGGCCTTTCTTCATCAGCACGGCATCTATCATGGCGACTTTCGACCCGCAAACGGCATGTTTTGCTTGCTTCCTGGAGTCGACGAATGGCCAGAGGAGAAGATGATCAAGCTCTACGGCAAACCGAAAATAGTCCGAGTCCACGCAGTTGACGAGGAGGGGGAACGGGACTTTGAAATCGAACCGAACGTCTCTCCTTATCTCATCCAAACGGCCAACTTCGACCTTTCTTCCGGCGCCTGTTCTTACAATATCGCGGTTATTGACTTTGGCATGGCCTACTTCCTCGACAATCCACCCACCATCTGCGCCACCCCATTCGAGCTGTCCTCCCCCGAAGGGATTTTTACCAACGGGCGATTAGGTTGGCCGGCAGACATTTGGTCACTCGCCTGCACTATTCTTTGGACCGTGGCGGGAAGTTACCCATTCGGCGATGAAGACTCGGAGTCCACACCATGGCTTGTCGTAGAGGACGTGGAAAGGCTTATGGGACCAATGCCACTGCGCTATCGTCCCCTGCTCACCAGCTGTGTTAGCGCCGGCAGAGAACTGAGCGAGCGACAGATGAATGACCCGTCCAAATACGCGACTTTCAATCGTCGGGAATCTCACGCCTCCACATACCATGGCGATCCCGACGTGATCAGAAACAGAATTTTTGTCAAATATGTGCTTCCCTGGACATCGGAGGAGTATGAGGAGCTCGCCAAACAGGACGAGATCTGGAGGAAAACAGGACGTCTTCCCAAGTACATCAAGGCGGCGGGGACTGGAGGTGAAACGATCTGGCGCCCAAGCCTACTACATGATCGCGAGGATGGCGAGGCTCTGTCGGACCTGTTGCTATCCATCTTCAAATGGGAACCAACTGAGCGTGCGACTACCAAAACCATGCTGGCACATCCCTGGTTTAAGGACCACCGCTCTCGTGGTTCTGACAGCCAGTCAGCATCCCAGCAAGGATGGAACTATCTGGCTAGGGGAAAAGGGTTGATGTGGATCTTGGGTGGTTTGCTTGTTGGGGTGGTATCCTTTCGACTTCGCAAGAGAGTTTTGGGCAACTAGAAAAGGGGGGGGATGAAGAGTGGGATAGGGGCATTATTTGTCATTGTGTTATCAGGAGTCACAAATCTGAAAGGGGAGTTCTTGGAATTTGTATTGCTAGGCAGGAGGCGAGATAATCGGTGGAGCAGGTGTCAAGGAATGGAATGAAAGGGCGTTGGTATCAATGGAAGCAGATGATGATGCTGCTTGGTCAGTTCGTTGAACCGCGGGATGTGAGATTTACCTGAAATGAAAGCCCCTTAATACGTGAGACTTACAGTGCTTTCGCCCTAAAGTGACAGCATACAACCTGTACAATACAGAAATCGGTAAAGGAATCAAATCAGCCGCAGTCTTCTCAGGCCACAGACCTCTCTACATTTCATCGCATATTCAACAGTGGTAAGATGATCTAACCAGCAAGTTAAGAAGTTGAATACATCTCGACCAAGCTCAAAACACCACTGGTATTTGGTCCTCTCTTGTATTTTGGCATAGCCAAGCCAATAACCAGATGCTGAACGCCTAAAAAATCCAGGAAACAACTAGATTTCCACAAGACCGAGATAGCATGTAGGTGGCCAATAGACCTTACATGTGAAAATCCCGTTGGTCCGCCCCGTCGATTTCATGTTTTTCTTTTTCTGGGGGGGTTCTGACAGATGCCATTCCAGGGCAGCAAAAACCGACTGCCGGACCTCCGGGATGGGTAGCCAACAACAGCCATTGGTTGACCTCCTGTGCCGCCAAGATGGGAGAGGCACGGATAGCTACCGAAACTGGCAGCCACACGGGTCAGGTGCCGGCCGATGATGTTTCCTGGATGGGGGCTGAAGACGGGGACCGGAAAGCTGCATCGTGGGTGACGTTAGAGTGTCACGGAGGGTAATGATTCGGGGCGATCAACGGCCCTCCGTTCTGCTTCCTGTCTTTTGCTATGACGGGATTCTTTCGACGGACCTCAACATGTAGCAGACAGGCGGATAACAGGGAAATGCGATGTGAAGATTGGGGGCTGAAGAAGAGTGGGAATGTCCTAGCTACCTATTTATGGCGATGAACATTCCAGCCAACTCCTGTCCTGAGCTACATATAACTCATTCAAATGAAGACAAGAACCGCAAGCCAAAATGAATCTCACCATTTTTACACCTCTTCTGGCCTCTATCGTATTTTCCTGGGCACTAGCTGAAGACTTCAGCGGGCCTGGCCAAATTCGCACACTCGATGTCCACGAAAATAATCAAGATCTTGGCTGTTTGACCTCAAAAGGAAAATGGACCACGGTTGAGTCGCTTTGTGGCGAGTTCAACGCTCAGCGCGTGGGAAGTAACAATGAATTCCGTCTCTCATCAATGGGGGGAGGTAGCTGCGGCATTGATGGGGTCACATTCAAGTGTGGAATCCAGAGTGGGATCTTTGGCGTACGTGACCGCTGCCTCTTGGTGGCTGGCGACCTGGAAGGAGCAAGAAAGCTAACAATATAACCAACAGACATGGGGTACTGAAGGGCCAGTTAGTGGAAGAGAAGTCGTGCGGTATGGGGCCTATGGACTGATGGAAGGTTCCGGGAACAGCCCGCCCGATGCGAAAGATGAGGCAGTCGAAATTCACTTTTCGACAGGAAACGAGGGAGGAAAAGCGGTGTGGCTAGGCTGGAAGGCACTCTGAAGAGGTTGTGTGGTGTTGTTGAGTGTAATTAGAGATAGACCACGTTCAGTCCGGACGAACGCAATCGCTACCACATGTCAAAAAGGCTCGTGACAGGACCGCCCACTGACTATTCGCCCTTGAACGCCTTTTCCAGTCCCTCAATATCGAGCTTCTTCATCCCCATCATAGCCACTGATGCTCGTCCAGCTGCCGCCACATCCTCGCTGACTAGCATCTCCTTGAGCCTCTTGGGCACAACCTGCCACGACACGCCAAACTTGTCAGCCAGCCACCCGCACTCTTGCTTTGTGACATCTCCCCCCTCGCTCAACTTCCCCCAGTAATAGTCGACTTCTTTCTGATCGGCACAGTCAATCATGAAGGACACGGCGTGATTGAAGGTGACGTGAGGCCCGCCATTCAGACCTGAGAAGCGGTGACCGTCAAGGTCAAACTCGACAAAGAGGATGGAACCGGGTTCCTGTCCATGAACTTCCTGGCCGGCCTCTGAATAGCGCTGGCTGCGCAGGATCTTGGAGTTGGGAAACACGGACGTGTAGAATTTGGCTGCTTCTTCAGCTTGAGTGTCGAACCAGAGGACAGTGGTGAGGGTGAGGTTGCCGGCGTGAGTGGTAAGCGACATTCTGCAGACAAGTAACGAGGTATGGAAGAGATGGAGAGGCTTGTTGAACGGCTCGAGCCTAGAGGTCCGGGTAGGCGGCCAAGAAGGAAGGAGAGACCATCCTTGGGCAAACAACAGGTCGGGCAAGATGGCACATATTAAGCATCATGGACAAAGAAGCCGGAGCGACTTCCTCCCGTCTTGTGGCTTGCGATTACCCCTCCAAGTCCTCAGGCAGCAACGCCAACCAGGGCATGGTGGCGCCTCCAATGACGCGCTCCCGACAAGCAACTCGTGAAACAGATCCATCTGGACGTGACGCGTAGTCACCTGATGTCGTCACCCATCACAGTTTTGTGCGGTTCGCGGGGGTCGGCATTTGTAGGGTTAGGGTCCTGGTAGACATCCCTGAGGCAGACATGATGACAACACCATTTCTTAAAGACGGGCAGGTTCAAAATGTCGACATATTAAGTAAGGGGTTACTTGCCTTAAGTTCCTTCTTTCATCTCTCAGGTCTTTTCTTTCTCGGTGTCCGCCGACTATTATTACCAGCCGCGTTGGGTGACATCTCAAATCCTACAAACCAACCATCCGCCCTATTAAACAAGCGATGATACCCTGCTATATAGATACCGAGTTCGTATTCTGTAGCTTCGCCACACCTCGTCGCATGAGAGTACAACTCAACTTAATGCCAATTGCTCGCCCAGACAGTTGCAGTCCATATCCATTCCATCAATGTCACTTTACAACAAACTTCATCACATACACGCGCCGCCATGACAGAGCCATCACCAGCAACGGTCGAGACACCCCCCGAAACAGCACTATCGGCGGCGGTCGCGAAAACAGACGTTTTCACCGAACCGCGCACCTCTGCACAGATCAGAAAAGAAAACAGAGCCACAAATCCGGATCGCGCTCCCTATCACCGCATCTGGAGTCTCTTCTCCCGAGGAATATTGTTGGTCCTCGAGCTCGCAGCCATAGGGTACACCGCCTACGCACATGAGCTTGTCAATCGACCCGACTCACCTTTCGAGGGCGGTGTGAAGGACTTTGGTACAAGTTTTGCAGCTGTAGGTGGCGACCTTAAGGAGATGATAAGGTCTCAGTGCTAACGCGTCAGGCAAACAAGTTTGCAGTGGGTGTCGCCGTCAACCTCTCATGTGTCATTGCTTGTTTCATCGATAGATATGACGCCAGCGGGGCTGGGATTGCTGGCTTTTTGGACTTGATACCCGGTATTCTTGGTATTGTTGCCTTCTTCAGTGTCGCATTAGCAGGATATGGTTACGGAGGAAGTGATTATTACGACAGAGTGGGCTACCAGGCGGAGAGAACGGCTGTTGCGCACTGTCTCTGGCTGTTGGGTATGATTCCTTGTCGATTCTTTTTGATGCAATCACTGACAAGCAATATAGCATTCTGCACATTCTGTCTTGCTTTGGGGCCTGTGTTGGGTGCTGCATTGTTTGTACTCGGTTAAAAAGCACAACAGTAAAGTCTCGCCCTCAAGGTGACAAGGAAGTTTCATCAAAGGGAGGGGAGCCCAAGATTGCAGCTGCTGGTGTTTGATCATGAGCCAGATGATGCTCTTGACAAGCAGTTATACATGATATAAGCACAAATATAGCACAAAGTTTGGATATAAGGGGAGGTTCAACATTTCTTGATTTACATAATACTTTTTGACTTACCTAGGTACCTACATACCATCTCAACACAGATGTGTGCCCACTACCTCAAGCTTTCCATGGCTTTAAGCAGCGCCGCCCTGAGCGGCTCCAGTCTATTACCCTCCACCCAGGAATCGCTGCCTCTCCAGATACTCTGCAACTTACATAGGATGACATGCGCCTCTTTCAAGATGAACTCATCATTCAAGAGCTCTTGGGGGCTCTGGAAAGCACAAGTCCCAGCAGCATGTTGCACAACTCTAATCACGAAGATGGCAGCGTAATCTGCTGGATTTAGGGGCCGGCCCAAGTCGGTCCAAGAGAAACCCACACCTCCATTGCTAAGCGCCAGGTTAATCCTAAGCTGAATGTCAGGGAAATGCGGGTCAAGTAGGTTGGGGGCTTGGTGAGCGAGAAGCTCGGAGGCGTAGTCAGCAAAGCAGGAGACGGCAAGGGCTGCTGCGGCTGGATTGGAGATGTTGAGCTCGCTCATCAAGAGCTGCCAGTAAGCCGGGACTTTGGTGTTAGGGTAAGGAGACATCTTTGGTGAGCTTTTTGTTGAAGGTTTCCTGTATAGGTATATCTAGTGTTAGAGTGGAAAGATGATGAGGCAGATGTTCACGCTGATACAATTCAGAGCTAAGGCGCGGTTTTAATAGCTCCAAGGGCGCGATGCCTTGTTGTAGGACAATGCCATTGTATTTCTAGATTGATTTCGAACAGAACAGACCAGTTTGGGTGTCTTTGTTCCTTCCCTTTCGACACTGTTCAAACAATGTTCGACATGGTCAACAAAGAAACACCAGATAGAAGGTTGAACTGGGATTCTCCTCAAACTCTCGGTTTTCAACGTCAAGATTCTCTCACGCTGTGGACAGAATGATGGGGATTTCTCCGTAGGGTGAAATCAAGGCAGGAAAAGATAACAGACCCGTCCTCGACTATCATTGATACCTCTTTAAGTACTTTTAAAGACCTTTTGACTTTCTTTATCGATGTATCGAGTATCTTCTAATGCGTATCAACTATCTTTCAAGGCTTACTGGTGATCTTCAATGGCCCTCATCTCAAAGTGATAGTGTCTATTATGTCACCGTGACGTGTCTGTCTAGTAGGTTCTCAGGTTGAGAAAGTACCAGATCCCTCTCCCATTCGTTTCGTCTAGCCTATTCGGCCTTCTGAACAACAAACTTGGTGCAGTCATCCTGCGATCCCCGCTGCGCAATAGGCATGACCACTGGCTGATGGTTCCTAGCAGATATGATGGTGCATACGCGGTACACGCCCTCCAGCAAACCACCCGTTACCTCAGCCTGCAAACCGCCCTTCCCATTGCCTTCATCATCCACACCCTTAAAGTAGGCAAATTTAGTCGGGTCGGGAGGGTTGACAGAACGGAGACTTCCAATGTTCTGAATGGTGATGTGACAGTGCCCAATGATATCGCCGTTCTCATCGAGGTCTTGAGGGGCAGTGTAATATGCAACGCTGGGATTCACGAGAAATCCAGCCCTCAAATGGCGGGTTTGGATCGTTACATTGAACGTCTTTTGCGCAGGGATAATGTCACCCGGTTGCGGATGGGTGATGATGGACGTGATCATGTTGGACGAGGCCGGTATCTTCCCCATGGGTATGCCATTGCAGGATCCAGCCGAATTCTGACGGCCATTGGTGAGAGTTTGACCAACGCAGAAGTTGATAAAGTTGCTCGGATTTCTGCAGGGATCCGTTAGCCTTGCATCAAGAGTAAACATCGGACCGGGAGTGTCGTCTTACGTGTCCGATTTTGACAAGCCTGGTCGAATTCCCGTTGTTCCTTCCTCCAGTCCGGTATACAAGCTTGCGCTCTGGACGGCTTTTGGAGAGAGACATGCTGGGCCGGGCTTTGGGTCATGCTTGGTTGAGCCGACAGTAACGGCTTTGACACTGCCAAAAAGTGCGAATGCCCCTATGGCGAGTGTATGAGGTTTGACCATTTTGGGCTCCCTGTGAACTGACCTGGACAGTGTCAGATAGAACGGTTGTCGACACGGAGATCAAGGTCAACATCAAGCACAAATGCGACAGGAAAGTAGCTTCTCTTTAAGGAAGAAGAGAATGTGACTTTAGCGCTTACCTCAGAAGCATCCCATTCCAAGAACTGTTGATTGGGTGCCAAGGGAAATATAGTGTCTAAGACCGGTTAAAATCAATTTGCTGCCCTCAATGGGAAGACTGACATGCTCCGGCTTCAAGTAAATGGACGATGTCTACCAATGACAGATGATCATGCACTGAGTGAGGCGCAGGAATCAACCGATCGTTCTGACTGACATGAGCTTATTATAGTAGTGTATGCACAAACGAGGTAGCTGGCAGGCGGAGTCCACGCCCCAAGTACCACACCTTTACAAAGGGCAAGGAACCGTCGCACCCCTTGCCACACGTCATGGACGAGAATGTATGCATTGCAAAACTGTCTGTACCACGCCCCCAATATAAGCCAAAGATTCTTCAAGGATAGGTACCTAGGTAAGTAGGTGGCTAACGTGGCACAAGATACCTACCTACCTACCTAGTTAATATACCTGACCTCAAGCTATAGCAGGTAACTAGTCTATTGTCCACCTAGAGAACCTAGTGGAGGCTGATTGTATCACCTATTCAACTACCCCATAGAATTGACTATTTTGTCCATGGCGTGTATATCTACAGCGTGATTCCCTCGATCTTCCCTAGAATCCTCTCAACGAACTTTATCCCGACCACGATCAGATCCTGTTTGTTATGTGTGACGTCCGAGCTGCCGAACTCATTATTCCCATCATCCAAACAGGTAAGACAATCCACCACGATCTCTGTATACAACCGCCCCATGCGCTGCGGGAGGGTCTGTTTTGTCAGCAAGACAAGATCCTCTTTGATCCATGACGTGGATCCTGGTAAATGGGCATGTTCAAAGTCCCGATCGCTCAGATGCTTTCTCAGCTGCAGTGAATATCCAGGAACAGGAGTTGGGATCGATGATGACGAGTTAGTGTGATTGGGGTGATGATAGGTTGACGAGGTCGAGCTACTGGTGGACGGGTACCAGACCAAAGACCGCCATAATCCAATCTCAAGGAGGCACACACCCAGGCTATATATATCGTGCTGCATAACATATCTCTCCAAAATGCAAAGTCCCTGTCGTGCTGGATGCCGGTAAAGGTTCCGATACCAGGCTGTGTCACCGAGGCGGTTCGTCTCCATGTTGATGCTTCGAAATTGCGAGAAGCCGACAAGAAAAGCCTGGCCCAGTTCCAGAGGTCGCAGAGCAGCAAGAGCTGTTGGGAACAGCAGAATATTGTCCGGACGAATATTCTTGTGTACCAAGTCGCAGGTGTGCACGAAGCTGACAGAACGAACAAGCTGTTTTGCCAGTGCGATGACCGAACTGAGACAAACAGGTCTTTGCTCAAGTAAGAGGCTGCGAAGGGTGGTAGGCGGCTTGAGAGGGTCTGCCTGGGCCGGGGTATGATACACAATCTGGGGACCGAGGGGAAAGGTCTTGTTGTCGTCAATGATCTCGAGGAGACCCTTGCAGCGTAGAAGGCCAAATATGCTTGGGTCAACGCTCTGGAGTCTCCTGCATAGTTGATAGGCGTCCGATGTAGTGTTTGTGTTGGTATTTGGGGCAGTACCAATGCCTTCCATGACATACAGACTTTGAGATTTCGGTCGGGCCACAACGTTGACGCTTGAAAAAGGAACGCTGGTTGCTGTGGTAAAGTCCCATCCTGTCTCATCCATGACGATGCTATTCGCACTTCTGATATCGGTGTTGATCGTGTAATCGATGGCCTTTCTTAACGCAAACATGTGATCCAGAGGGCTTGCGGGAGATTGGTTGTGTGGTAGCTGTCGGGATCTATCTTGTCCTAACTGCTGCAGTGCCGGGTCCAAGACCTTGCCGCCGATGAGCATAATCGTATACCACGATGGATCGAACAGACTTTGCCAGCACTGTAACTCCGTCATCAACGCGTCCAACCCTTTTTTGGCCACAGCATATCTCCACCTGTCAAGCTGAAGCATTCTGGTCAGCACATGTCCCTGTCCAGTACTGGTGGAGGCGACTATCGATGAAGCCGCTGCTTCGAGCTGAGATACCGCCTGTAGCAGAGTTCCGCGTAGTCTTTGGAGAAGATCAAAATGACATTGTGCAAGTTCTTCAGTCAGATGATCTTTGATCCCGCGGAGGAAAACGAGCTGTATCTCTAGTTTCGTCCAAATCGTTTCGAGTAAAAGCACCTTATCACAGAGATCTTTCTTCGCAGTCCTGAAAGCTTGGCAGATGCGCAGGGTCTTGTTGGCAAGCTTGATGCAAATGTCGACGACGCTGACAACTGCGAGAGCGAGTTCTGCAGACATGGTTCTTGCAGTTCTGTGGACCAGGTGACGCGATTGTGAGGTTGTTGTAAGGTATGTTGTATCAGATGGTAAGGTGGTGATGAAAAAATGCGGTCTGTGTCGGCTGGTTTTGGCGTGGCGCAGCTCGGGGAAAGGCGTCGTAGACAATATAATAGACAATGGAGCTATCCCGAAAGATGCTAACCAGAAACACCATGGATGTCTTCAACAGCTCTTGTAATATACCTATATCAAGCACCTCTAAAGGAGCTGAAAGGGTATGTGGACTGCCCTTGCAGGCATATTACTTGCCACGGTATCTAGGTAGGTAGGTATCTTTAAAGACTTATTAACTACCTTCAAAAGTCTGTGAACTATCTTCCAAATCCTCATCCAAAGTACAGATTCCATTTTTTTTGTCCACGACGTATTCAGGGGTCGGCTGACTGCTGCCTGGCCGCCGCTTGCATGTGGCCAAGCAAGCCACAGCGCCATAGCTCGTTTCTGGACGCGCGCTGAAGACAGGGGGCGCGCTGAAAACTAAAAACGCGCTTAAATCCAAGGCATGAATATGGATGTTAAATACTGCCATCGTTCCTCACTGTCGTATCACTTAGAGCCTGACTTACCCATATATGAGGTAGTTTGGATGCTGTGACCATGGCTGAAGGTATATCCGAGTTGGTTAATTCCTCTCGGCTGGTGACAGAATTTTACCTCCCGAATTTTGTTGTCCACCATCTTGAAACTGTTAATGAAATCTGGGATCTGAGAGAAGAAATTGGCTATGGAGGATCTGGCGTGGTGCGAAAAGAGGAACGTCGAGTTCACTCCAGTGGAGAGAAATATCAGGGTCCAATGGTACGAGCCGTGAAACAGATGAGAAAGGTTCCTCAAAACCCAGACCAAGGACAGTGGAATTATAGAGCCGAGTTGGAAGCAGTGGTGAAGTTCTCACAGCCAGAGGTATGCAAGCACGTGTGGTGGAAATGTCCAATGAAAGTTAACATTCAGCAACTTGCTAGTATGACCCTTTCTTTGTGCGCACCTTTGGGTGGTTCGAAAACCAAGAATCTGTGTTTCTGGCCATGGAATATCTTCCATCGAGTGACCTAGAGAAATTCAGAAGGTCCTCGCCTCCGCTTTCCGAATTTGACACGAGCCTGATCGTGTGGCAGCTGATTCAAGGTGTGCGACACATGCACGATGCTGGGTTTGCGCATCGAGACTTGAAGCCAGGGGTAAGTGGTGATACTACGTGTTCTTCATGTCCTCGACCATGTCACATGTGTCCCAATACAGTCAGTCGTTATTGCCTGTAAATACCTAGCTCACATCGACATACCCAGAATATACTCATTGCCTCAACATCACCGATCTGGCACGTCAAAATCGCCGACTTTGGAATCAGCAAGCAAGCTATGCAGGGTGTAACACGCTTTCACACCATGCGAATCTTCGGGACCTTGGGATATATGGCACCCGAGGTATTGGGTTACTATGCCAACAACACCGGAATCAACAATACCACGATTGCATACACTATGTCGGTCGATATTTGGGCCGTTGGTGTAATTGCAATGACCTTGCTGCTTGGGCGCGATATCTTTCCTTTGCCGGGCGATTACGCCAAATATGTCTTTGGACAACGGGCTCTTGACTTTGCCCGTGGTCAAGGTGAGGTTTTGACAGACGATTGCCAGGACTTCATCGCGGCCCTTCTTGCAGCGGATCCAATACTTCGACCGACTGCTGCTGCTGCCCTCGCCCACCCTTGGTTAATGCAGGCCACCGAAGCAACTGAACCTTCTCCAGTAAGAGAGATCCCGGACTCGGAAGCAGACTCAGACGAGGACTCCGCTCCATCTGATTCACTACAGCCTTCCACAAAGAATCCGTGGGCGACAATCGGCAGTAGAACTTGGCCGAGCAAAGGATCGAAGACATACAGCGACGCGCTCCTGACGAAGTTCAAGTACCTCTGGCTTGATATTATTCTTCTATCTCCCAAGTTCCATACTATTGAGTTCGAGAAGGTTTGTCTCTCTCCTTGTCCATTGGCCAGCCAATGGCACGATTTAACGGCGTTCTTCTTCACCTCAGACTCGGTTTTATGTTCTACGCTCCGATAACGCCACAGATATTGAGACAAGCGCTGCTCAGAGCGTGTGGACTTCTAGTCAGCGTGTCAACAAGATCCTTGACAAAGGATACCGGACATCCGAAGGCCATGTGGTTCTATTCTTCTCCGTGATTGGTAGGTAAGTAATCGTTTCACATGATTCAAATTACCTATTACTGGTGGAGGTAGGCAAGGTATCTTATAAAGACATGAAGCTGACACACACTGCACCAGTCGGCGATTCTGTGGAGTAGCACAGATGACCAGCGCACTGGATTGGGAGAATACTGACCCCCATTGGGTTGAGGATGTCTGGCAGGGACGGTTCACCTTGGCCTGGCTCAGTCATACAGAGCTCTCATTTGACCTTGTCAACCATGTCCCGGTAAAGGAGACCACACCGGGTTTCAGAGCTATCGCTTGTTACGATGGCACTGAGATCTCACCTGGATCCGCATATGAATTATTGAGAGTTTTTTCGGCGGCGGAAAGACGGTGATCGTGGACTTGAGTTTATCGGGATCCCACATCAAGGTGCCTGGGTACCTAGGTAAGATATTTGGGTGGCCTTACTCTGCGATCGGGGTCAGAGAGTTGCTAGATCCTGGTATCATTCCATTGGGTCAGATTGGTTACATTATCTTATCAACCAGGACGAGGACTCCTACCTAAGTGCCGCCGAGAGGCCGGCCAACACAGAAGGACACAGTCACCGCGAGGGGCCTTGATGGGGTAGTAACATTCTCAGGTACTTGTATATTCATGGCCAAAAGCACTATCCTTCTCAACCGACAAGTAGACTCTTGTCAAATTCAAGGAACTACAGCCAGACTTCATGAAACAAACCCCGGTTTCTCTTCACCCATCTCCATTCATCCCTCGCCTTAAATCCACTGATAAACGCTGAGTTTGCTTGAACCACCGCAAGTCTCGGTGGGAGCACCAGTACAGGCCAAATCACAATCCGTGTCTTCGAGTTGGACGCTCAAAGCATCTAGCTCATGGCCACAAAAGCATTCAGCCATGTATTGCAGTCCAAAGAAGACAAATCCAGAGTTGAGACAGTAATCCGCACAGCGTTCGATTGTCATGGCCGCAGGGGAGAAGCCAAAGCCTCCAGCGAGAGCCCGATCGGGGGCGGGGAGCTCACTAAAGCATCCTTGGTACACTGGGGCGGAGACCTCAGGGTGAGGATAAGGCGTATGTGGAGGGGCCTCCTCAGAACTGCCCCAGAGAGAGATGCGGTTTGGACCTCCGCATGTCTGACCGGCGTCTCCAGTGCATTGCATGGAGCAATCTTCCGGGAAGGTAGGGAAGGAACCTGTGTCAAGAGAGTTGCCACAGTAGCTGTGAGACTTGTTAGATACCGGATGATACGGAAACGGGGAGAGCTTCTTTGACTTACCACTCGCCTCCATATTCTAGTCCCCAGAGGGTGAAATTACGGGTGGGATCGGTGCAGTATGTCTCGCAAGCCTCCACGGTCATCGCCTCGAAATCCGCGGTGCTCGCGCCAGTCAAAGCCCGAGTGGGAATTTCCGTATAGCAGCCGTAAGAAGTTTGCCCGACGACGGCGGGGACAAGGGCGGCAAGAGCGAGAACGGAGTACATCTTGATGGGTTGGAAAAGATCTTTGGTTGAGATTGTAGAGGATGGTGACTGATGATGGGGGAAGAGATCAGAATGACAACATCGAGGGTGGTCGTCTTACTTATAGACTTCGAGGCATCATCCTCTTTGCTTCTTCATGGTTGTGGATATATTGTGACTGATTGCGTCCCGTCTGGCCTATCTCCTGTGTCCCCAACACCATTGACTCGATACCACTCTGCATTGGTACTCTCCCAAGAAGGTAAACACGGAGTGCACCTGCATGATCGCATCTTGACGAGCCTCGAACGCCCGGCTAACGACAAAATGTCTGGCATGCAGAAAAGACAATATCACATGCAGCCCAAAAGAGATATACATGCAAGTGGACCCCTGAATCCTTCGTACGATCCGTGAATCGAAATAGCCTCAATGTCTCGTCAAGATATCGCCAAGACCTTTGAGGTTGTGTAACCAATGCTGATGGGAAAATCGTGACATAAAGGTAACTAGGCAAGATACCTACCGACTTAGATGATTGACTGCGGTTCTTGATAGAAGTGTGCCCATAATTTTGTATAATCCTTCATTGCACTCAAGGTTGGCGCTCAGTCATTACCTACCTGGAAAACCAGATCTTCAACGGCAAGGGATGCGGATCGTTCCGTTCCTCGAGGTCCCTGAGCTTGCAAGGGTCTAAAGCAGAAAGCTGCATATGCCAGCCCTCGGATTACCACCCTGTACCTAGTTAGTACGTACTTTTCTGCTTCTTACGCTCACCGATTTTCCACAACAAACGCCGAGTTGCAAAGATGGACTCACGCCGGGCGCCGGCAGGGAATATAATTCAATAGAGAGTCAGCCACTTGCCCAAGTTCTTTGACCGGACAAGTCCCGCCAGCAGGGAAAAAACAGTAAAGTAAGCGTGGCCAGAAGGGGGCGTGCTGCATGCACTGTTGCGCAACATAGCCCAGAAATTGTTGGAGCCAGGACTCTTTGAACAGTGTCTAGAAGTTGCTTCGGTCAACGGGTTCGCCTCCAAAGATAGACAAGAGAGAGTAGCGTCGGTGTCACGGTAGGTGGATGCGATGAGACCCTGATGCAGATCGATTGTGACGTGAGGCTCCCCCATGCACACATCCTTTGTAGCTGCAATATGTGAACCGCGGTTGCGGGATTGTTTTCCGCGCCATTCAGCGGTCAACGCGTGCAGGCGTGACATGGCCGATGCCAAACCATCGGGGGTTTTACCTATTACCCGTTTCTTTTTTATTACACACGATCTGATATCCGTCCATGCATGTCTCAATGGGCCCCTGATTCCCCATTCTGTGGGGTTGTGCTACCAGGTCTTGCCGCCCCCTGAAGAGGCTGATGGCCTAGACGACAGCTTGCCAGGGGCATGAATGCTACCCGAGTAACTAAGAAAAACCTAAGCGGGAAGGTGACGGTTCTTGAATAACACCTCGGGGAGGTAGGCCAAGCAAAATAAACGGTCTGGACGCAAAAGCTGAACAAATGATCTCCACCGAGTACTACATGACTTGACACCCAGTCTCTATTGTCAGACCACCCCGCCTGTGGTAGAGTTGGACTTCTCAGGTTGTAGTCACAGTGCAGTTGCATATTTGGCTGCAGAGCTATATCTGCAGGATATCAATATCGAGCAGAGATTTCGATGGGATCCTCATCCGACTCGGCCGTGATTAGGAAACGCTGCGAGAAAGGACGCACGGCACCCAACGGGTATCATCCACTTGCCAGACTTGCAGAGCACCATTTCATGCCGCTGTACCCTTTGATAAGGGATAGAATATCAACCTGAACAGTCTGGGTAAGAAGGAAATTCCTCGGGACTGACGACAGCCCTTGCGTTCAAGTTGCAAAGCAGATGGAGTTCATGAACGCTCCTGGGAAAGGGCATCGGATGTTCCGGTAACATGGATCCTGTTCCAGTCACGACTGCCAGAGGATTACCTTAGCTTTGCCGCTGCCACAGTGCCACACCGGCCCAGTCTCACCAGATGCAAAGTTCTAGCCAACTTCCAATGGTGGCTGTATTGAGTCCAATATGGACGCTGTGTGGCTAGCTGACAGGCCCCAATTGACCTTTGAAGCTGACACAGAGTCTACTAGATATATTCATCGTGTATGACCCTGGATCGACTTGAAGCGCATCGGTAATTACTCACGGATTCCCACCTTCATTGATGACAAGACTCTGTTCACCTAGCCACATACGCCATTTCACAGCCATTCTCGTCACCATGCTGCCTATTCACTCACTTGAATCTTGAAATGACTTTCTGACATAGACACTGGTCCCACGCCTTCAAAAGCGCTGATACCAAATAGACTGTGGGTGTGTAGTAGCCGCTAATCCTACACAAACACGCACATGGATGACCAAGTACCAATTTCCACTACAGAGCAGACGTCATTGTCTCGGTACAGGCTGCCATGCCATCTCCCGGACTGATATATAACGTTCCTACCGATGTCGCACTCCAATGGCCACCACCGCTATGGGTACATCCCCCATGCTGACTCAAAACCAGGTCCCAACAACCTACTCAGGTATCCGGTTGTAGTCAGGATTCTACTGGTACAATTTGATCATCTCGACAGTGGTACAAGATCCCTACTCATATTACAGACCCTGGCCAATAGGCGACCTAATCTCTGGTGATGGTGTGATTTGTGGCTTGACGGTTTTTGTGGGGTGCCTACGATGTGCATCGACTCTAGATTAACGACATGTTTGCAGAAAGGCTAGCGATGTTTGGCATATATAAAGACAATACTCCAAATTCGAAAACATCTTTCTGCGAGAGGTTCTATTTACATTGCCGTCTGTCTACCTATTCAGCCTCCCCACATTAACGCCAATTCAATGGGTTGCATTGCGTCACCGCTGAGCAGAGCTCGTGTCTATATGATTGGGACGAGCAGTATTTCTGCTGATGGTTGGGATTAGTGGTGTCCTTGTGAAGCAGCTCACCACGAGGATTGACATACCTTATCGACCATAGTTGGGCATTCATTTTCTGCAGCAGCACTTCTTCGCACCAAGGCCTTTGCAGCCGTCCCCGGTCATGTGGGAGAAGAGCTTGTCTCCACACCATGCCTCGCATCTGCCTGACCAAAACACAGAGCAAATACTTGGGCTTTTGCAGGTAGCTCTGGTCTCAAGCTGGGCTGCCTCTATCTCGGAATAAGGGGCGGCAAGGACGCCGGCAACAGCGGTGAGGATAAGGTAGAGGGTGGTGGTCTTCATGTTCGGATAGTCGAGGCGTAGACTAAGGTAGGATGTTGCACCTGTGCTGTATCTGGAGATACTGGGTTTGTAGGACAGGATGGGTCACAGGAAAGGTGCCTACCTATTTATCTTGAGTCGATGGACGCAGGAAGATCGCAAGTGTTCCCTATCCTGTAACTCCACGGGCAGCGTTGGACTTGCCGAGCTCGGAAGACGGCATTATTAGGCCATGATCTGAGTACATGCCACGGAAATCGAGCCGAATCGGAGTACGATGAAATGGTGTAGAGTTACAACGTCCCAAGTAGCTGGCTTGGATGTCTTTGGTGGCTTGGCGATGTCACTTTCGGCTGGAGTTTGGGACCGCGATCCTACTTCGTCCCCAGAGCGCCGTGATATTTTCGCCTAACTCTTCTTTCTATGGTAAAGCACCGTACCTCAAGCGACCTTCTCTCGTCTTCCAGATCCACCGCACTGTCTGTAGCCCGGCAATAGCCCTTCCGCATTACGTACATTGAACAAGCCTCTCTCAAGACATATTTCTGACCAAGATGTCGGCAAGAGTACCATGACTTGACATTATAACCGTTGAACTTAACCCCTAGTCCCCCACAGGGTCGGCGCCGGTAGCTCTCGAACCCACTCGGGGTTCAAGATACAGCCTTACATCATCATGCTTCCACCTGCCATCATCAGCTGCTGGATCCTCGCACCAGCCCCGCTCGCCGCTCCGGGCGCGTGCCCGTACACAGACTCGCCGAACATACGCATCTGCATAGGAAGAAACCTGTCGCCATAATGGTCGATAATATCTGATTTCTCGACGGCCGAACGCAGGCTGGACCATCCACCCGAGGATCCCAACGCAATGCATGCCTTGGCCTTCTCCTCATTCCATCACGCCGGCAACAATTCAGACTTGCTCTCAACGTCCTTTAGGAAGCGGCGAAAAGGTTCGATGGAGTCCTGGCGCCACCGTAGAGGCCATCCTCATCGGCGTCTCCTTCAAATTTGTATTGGTCATCAGCGCGGAGGCGGTATACATCGACGAGTAGTTTGTAGACTTCTTTTTCCGGGCGGCTATACAGCCAGGAACCTTGGTTGAGTTGGCCGAAGGAGTTGTTACCCTCCATGTGAGGCTGGGAATGCATGCTGTTGGCAAAAGGGCGTCCTTCGGCCCCGGGCTGGCCTGGCTTGCCGCAGATCTTTTTGTGAGCTTTCCAGTCCTGTTTTTGGCACTCGCGGGAACAATATTCGGTGAGTGTACACTTGGCACACCGCTTCAGGGGGACCTCGGAGGCTGACTTGCTGCAAGTGGTGCAGGAGGACATTGTGAGTTGTGTGAGGTCTGAGTGGGTGGCTTCCGAAAGTCTTGGTTTGGGAAGTGTTTGGGGAACTTGAAAGGAAAGAGAGAGATCCTCGGGCCAGCATGTTACAGCCCTTGCCACAACATAGTTGGTATATAAAAGTAAGTCAACTTATATTATATTGTGAATTGAGCCTCAAAAGATAACTATTAGGCTGTCACACGTTACTTAACCAACCGGCCACACCACGGCCAAACTGCTATCTAACTGCACGTCGTGAGCTAGTGGTTAAAAGTAAGGCAGGCAATCAAGTACCACGCGGTTATCAAAGGATTAGTATTAGCCAACTGGGTATAGGCAGGCTCTTGGTAGTGGCCTAAGGTCACAGAGTAAAGGCCACTAGGTAGTAGATGAATACGCGTCCGAGGGACCTTTTTATATTTCCTAATGTGTTTATTTTCTTGATTATTTACTTCAAGGTTATTAAAGATTGTAAATTAAATGAAACTACTATTTAAGCCTTAATATATAACCTTTATCATATATTGAAATGGTGAGAAAACACACAAAATAACCACAACACCACAAATATTGAAATAGTGAGAAAACACACAAAACAACCACAACACCACAAATATACCCTCAACAGGTCTCTGAATGAACACACCTGCGTGACAGTGGCTCGCTCGCAGGCCGCACTTCACGTAGGACAAAGAAAAGACACTATGGGCTCGGAGGCCACATAATAAGCACCGGATTGGCCTAATCAGAGGGCCAGAATTGCCTGGACGCGTGTAAGGCACAAAATACGAAGAAAATAAGAGTCGATATCTTATTTAAAATAGAATGTCCGAAGTAGACCGCTTATATATATAGCCCCCCCTGAACCCCTAAGTCCTTTAAAAGCCCCGCTTCCTTACTTATACTCTTAGGCCTATAGCCGTACCCCAGACCAACCGTCGTCTCTTCCTTTTATCGTTAAGGTAATAAGGTCCTTATACGCGTATACCCTTACGCTTCCTACGGCGCTAGTATTGCCGATCGTTAATACGGACTGTGACGAACCCCTATACAGAACCTCTGAAAGGGATACTGGTTGAAGGTAACTTCTGACAATTGGTTCGGTGCAGCTAAACAGTGCACAACAAGATGTCTCAATGTAAACACAAGATACCGTGAATACAAGCTGAATTGCATACTGCGGAACTGTCTATCTACACCAGCCAGTTCCTCCGTATATATAGACCTGTGGATCACCTGGATCGCGTTCCCTAGCGGTGATCCGGATCACATCCTCCACCTGAGGCTCACCATGATCACCGTGATCCTGTCGCTCCGCTCACCGGGATCACCATGAGCCTTTCGCTCCTCTTCCGACTGGTCCGTAATGACTGGCCAGGGGCGCCCCGCGCCCCGTGCGTTGGTCCCCCACCAATGATTGTGACATAACATACTTCTTTTATTCGTACATTTTATAGTTTACCTAAGCCTTGTGAAGTACAGAGCTTCAGAAGCAATATAATGGCTTGAAATTAATGTCACAGTTAAGCTAACAGGCAGAACGGACCGTGTGCGGGGTACGACACGCACAGCTAATCGCTAGTAGAACCAACCAGGACGGGGAATAGCCTCACTTGTGGGATCATTGCCAAGAGTCAATGATCCAGGAGACCAGTAGGTCTATATATATGGAGGAACTGGCTGGTGTAGATAGTCTGTTCCGCAGTATGCAATACAAGTCACAATGGTTAGTATCTTGATTATTGTGATTGAGACAAGCCATTTGTTATACACTGTTTAGCTGAGGATTGTATTTCCACAATAGTGTCCACGTAGATCTATCGCAACCCTACCACTTTGACGGCATCCTGGATTGTCAGTGGAGCATGAAAACGAGAAGATGTTTGCGGCCGGCCACGAATACTCGCAGAGAACTCCACCGTTAACTCCACCACACAAAAGCTTAGCACGTCACAAATACAAACCCTAATTCCACCCCACCAGCACATCAATCCAATCGGAACCATCCTCATCGGGTATGGTGTAGCGGTAACATCGTTGACTCTCACTTCTCAGAAGTGTCTGTTCTCTCAACAGCCCCGGGTTCGACTCCCGGTATCCGAGTATCAACTTCTTTTTGGTTCATGTCAAGTCTATTTTTCGTATTATTATTTCCTTCTCTCCTCATTATTTCTTCCTTCTCTCCTCATAACCGTTGACTGATGGTCTCCAACCACAGCACCTCCTCAGGCCGCAATGTGATCCCTTCGGGTATTATGACCTCCCCACGTTTGATAACCACCTCGGCATCCTCCCCCATCCCTCTTTCAGAATCAGTGCTGCTGGTGGCCGATGCCCCAGGTTTTTCCAGCCTTGGCCTGTTTTCCTCTTCTTTTTGTCTCTGTTGCTCCCGTCTCGCCGCTTGGTTCCAGAACAACCCCGTCTCACTAGGTGACCACCAGTAGAATGGGAACCTCCGCTGAATGTTGTTAACAAGCAGGGCCACTATCAGCATGAGGCCACACCCCAGTGAGACAGGCACCAACACATACCACCCCAGCCTGCTCACATCATCATCCACCACTGCCATCAGAGCCGTGGCTCCAGCAGGCGGGTGCACCGTTCCCGTCAGGGCCATAACCGCCGTGGCGAGACCGCATGACAGCGCCCCTCCCAGCCATCGAACACGCTCAAACTCCTCCGGCCCCAGCAAGGCGAACAGTTTACAGACGATAATCCCCGTGATACTGGCTAATATCTGACCGAGGATGGCGTTGCGGGGCTGGGCAAGCGGCGACTCGATTGCGTAAAAGTCCAACACGGCGGCAGCACCCTATGTTGATATCAGCAAACACATTCGAGAGAAACAAGAGCCGGAACACAACATACAAAACTCCCAATGATAACCGGCACCCCCTTCTCCCCAAACCCCGGAATCTCCTGCCCTACCGCCCCGATCAAGGCCAAGCTGCTGAATATCCCCACCACGGCCCAGAATATCATGGGAATATTGCCCAGTGGTGGCTTCGGATGCGCCGCTGGAGGATGAGGGGTGCGGTACCCGAGGAAGTGCGCCACGGCCCGGGGAAAGCGGGGCAGGAATGAGGAAGGAAAGAACGGGTTGACGTGAGCGTCAACATCGAAGTGGAGTGTTGACCATGACGACCTTGGCTTCTCGGTGGGTGGTTTTCGGGTTACGTGCGTGTTGGAGGGTGAGGGGGTGAAGGACATCTTGGCTGCGATGTCAGTGAACTGGATGGTGAAAAGGTCGATCTGATATTCTTTTCATGGCATCTGGAGTGCTCGTGGAGTTTTAAGACTGGAGGGAGGAATTCCTGGGAGGAGCAACACCAGTCACACAATGGAAAGAGCGGGCAAAACCCTGGACGATCGCATGGCTGACGAAGAATCCATCTTTATTAAGCGGTATGTTGCCATACAAAGCCATGGTGCCACGAGCGAGCTCCCAGGCTTCGAAAAGGGCAGGAAGGGTCAACCTGTGACTAAATGTTTTGCTCCAAAGCGAACCAACCGTCAACTGTTTTCGTGGCTCTCTCTCGGCGTTTACGTCAGATTTGCTAAGGGAAACTCCCAAAGAGGGATAGCGGCCGGGTGGATAGAGAGCCCAAGCCTTTTTGACGCCTCGTGCCTCGGCCGCTGGCAGCCGGCTGGGATAGGCTATTTCCGCGGAGGCTGAAAGTCAAAATCGTCTTCATCTCTTTGTCTCTTGTTCGAGCAGCTGTCTTGTCTCGATGCTTTTGGAGCATCAATGCCCTTGTTTTGATGGGGATGTCACAAAAGGGACGACCCAAGAGGAGGAAGTGGGGGGACCACCTACGGCATGCTATTGGTGTGCGCCGTGGGCGGGTTTTGCGGGATGAGAAGCCAACTCCCCAAACATCGATCGAAAGCTTGCGGGGGTGGAGAACCATGGAAGTCGGCAATTCGGGAATATGGGGAAAGCAGCATCCCATGACGCTGACAGTTCCCGGACCGCTCGCTGCACAAGAAGAGACGATGATCTGTGTCTTGACACAGATTAGGTACACCATGGGATTTAAACGTCCACGGATGTAAGCTCGAGCTTCATATTCAGTCCATTCATGATGAACTCGCACATGTACCGCTGAAGGAGACGACGGTCTTCCCGTAGCTTTTGCACTGCAGTCTACCGAACAAGATAAAACCCCAATGAACCCCGATGATTCTCCATTGAATGATGACACTGACATTAACAATTACACCAACTACGACGATATTTACATGTATAAAATAACCATTTTGAGACTCCCGCTAAAAAAAAAATCATCCCACACTGATTTTTGGTGCAACAGAAGGCCGAATCAATAGCCCTGCTGATACGGAGCCTGTCCATATCCTTGACCTTGCTGTTGTTGGTGATGCTGCTGATATCCTTGATGATATTGCCGCCGCTCTGGATATCCTGCAATATCTACCTCTTGATACTGTGGCTGTTGTTGAGAATATACTTGTTGCTGCTGCTGTTGCTGCTGTTGGAGATATTGCTGCTCATATTGGCGTTGTTGCTCGGAAACCACCGGCGAGTCCTGCTGCTGGTACCCCGGCGCAGGCGCTTGATACCCTTCCTGTGGGTGAGCAGACCCAGCACCTGGATACCCGGTATCCTTCTCAGCCGGCGCAGCTCCAGTTCTGAAGCCCATCTGCCTGACAACACCCCACCCGGTCTTCTGCTTCTTCCGCTTGTCACCACCCGGGCGCTTTGTGTTGGCTCCATTGAAGAAAATCGGTGGTGGCTGAGGCAGATGGTTGAGGATGAGAACGGCAAAGAGGGTAATGACAAGAATCGGCAACGGCCAGGGTGTCCCCCAGAGTTGAAGGACCTGCTCTGTGTTGAGGGTGATCAACGTGACCAGGCAAAGGCCGACGCCAATGAGGAAGTTGAGACCTTTGCGGACGTAGTTGAAGGGAGTCCAGCCTCCGTTGCGAGAGACGATGTAGAGGAGGTTCATCATGATGAGTGTGAGCCCCGCGGCGACGTAGGCGTAGGTGAAAACGAGCTTGAACTTGCCCCAGTTCAGCTCCCAAACTCGTTCCTCTAGTTCCGCAGCGTTTTTGAAAACCTCGTCGCTACCTTCAAAGGCCGAGTACCCGTTGACATTGAATGTTGCAAAGAGTGAATTCTGCATAGCAGTAAGCAGTTCCTCCAAGGCGTTGATGATGTGGCTGACTGTTTCATTGTTCAAGAATTCCTCTTCTGGTACATCCTGGACTGTGGCCCAGAAGTCATCGGGGATTTCCATGAGCAATGCCAACCCATCGCTGATCGATTGAGGGGTTACATCATATTTTGGCCTGTAGAGCTGAAACACCTCGTTGAGAGTTCCGTTGATGGTTGAGACGAACCACGATGTGGTGACATTGAAGCCGGGGTCATCCCCTGCCTTCAAGGCGGTCATGAACATCTTGTTGGTAGAGAGATAAGTTTCGATGACTTTCCACCAGATGACAAACTGCGATGAGCCGAGGATGAAAAGCTTTAAAAAGAGGTGGAAGGGGAAATGGAGGAATGACCACAGAAGCTCTCTATAAAGCGGCATCCTCAGGTTCCTCCTCCAGTCAAAGTAGATCATGTAAATGAGGTAGAGGTTGGAGATTCCCGCGGCCACGTTGCCTATTGTCGCGCTTGTCCACGAATTGTGATTGATCACAACCTTGGTGACGGCGCTCAGGACGGTGATGATCCCTTCGCCCATGAAGATGTAGCTGAGAAGCGACATGCGAGAGACGATATGCGTGCCTGAGAAGCTCAGAACTTGAAACTTAAGGGATAAGACAATGGTGATGAGGGTCTCCAGGCCAACCATGATGAACCAAATGGCGTATAGCTTGCTGTCTGTGCCGTCCTTGAAGGCAAATGCAACGCCGAGATAGATGATGGCAGAAACAAGATTTAATGCCACCATCATCCCCATGGGTAGCCTGGTTTTCTTGAATCTTCGAATGTGCCACATGATGGATCCGTATTGTGAGGCCATGGCAAGCCGAGACGCCATGAGGATAAGGGAGAGGGTTCGGTATGTCTGGGATTTATTTTCGTATAGGGACCACGTTGGTGCAACAACTGCGAAGCCAACCATGACACCAAAATGCACCGCTCGTATGGATCGTTCTGTGAACTTGACGGTTAGTCATACTCTCTATGAGTAATGCCCAGCCCGACAGGAGGGAAGACTTACCAAAAATACTATCCGTTATGAAGCGGACATCGAAGAAGCCCAATAGAGCCCAATTGCCCAGCCACAACAGCACAAAGTAAGCGATGAAGCTGTTGAGCTGTTGCAAGTTGGTCACATCTTGCACCTCTGCAAAGACGCACAGAATTGCAGCAAAAAAGAGGTCGTAAAAGACCTCGATATTCGTCGCTTCGGCGTGCTTCTCAAACTCCGGGTGATCATCGTCCGACTCCCTCCAACCGAGGCTTTCGAGATTGGGGTTGCCCCCTTGACCGTCGGCTGGCGATGGGCTTTCCTTGGGAAAAGACTTGACGCGGACAACAGGGCTCTTCATCAGAGGCACGTTGTCCTCGTCCGGATCGACTGTGAGGTGTTCGTTTGCCATGGTGTGCGCGTATTGTCTCTGCCGTGGTGTGTCGTGTGGTAGGTAGGGTGGTAACCTGTGCCACTTCTTCTGGACAAGAAGGAATAGAAGCAAAAGGCTGCAAGAGCTCGGTACGGTGAGAAATGTTCCCGATCATCATGGTTGCGGTCCTTAAGGATTTTGACCTTGAATCCTGGTCAGCAGCCTGATGCCAAGCATCGCCAGCGGATGAGAAGCTGACGCCGAGGACTGATGCGATGAGAAGGGCTACCCCTATTTGACATGGCTCCCTGTTCGATCTTCAGCAAACTGGCAAGGATCGGCCTTTATCCAGCGCTTTCTGAGCAAGTGCCCGTTGTTGATCCACTGGCCCATCAAACCTTTTTCTGCCATTAATAGTGGATTCTGGAACTGCCATTCCTTAGTTGTCCTCGTGGTAGAGTAAGAACTATAAAGGTAGCGCGCTGCCTTGCTTGGTGGAGCGGCTATAGGGTTGAGATCACGGCAGTTCTATTTTCGGCGAATATAATGGAGCTGCTTTTGGGAGGCTGTGGTTTTCCAGACAGGGGCAAAAGGCTTGAAAGACTGCAGCCTGAAGTGGCGGCCTTTTGAGACCCAGGATCGGGATGAGCGATGTTGCGCTGGTTTCTGACGTTTTTGATCTTGATTGGCTTTGCTGCTTGGTATAAGGATTTAAGCTCTTTGATCGAAAGCCAAGCGAGAGCCAAGGGAGCCAAGTGCTGAGCCAAGTCCACTGGTGTTACGGGTGGAACACGGTTAAGTCGGCATCAGGACTGTGGTCCAAAGGTTGAGGTGAGAACTGAACTGGTGCAAACTGCCCTGTGGTGTGAGTTGGCGAAGGGGAGCGAGGAAAAGAAGAGAATGTGGCGACCTTCTACCACACCCTCCCTGATTCCCTTTTGCTCGAGCGCCATAATGACTGGCTGTGGTGTTTGCGTACCAGGTGGCTTTTCTTATCACATTAGCTCTATATAATCAATTTCTTCACGTCGAGGCGTTACTATCTTTCAAGGTACCTATAAATCAACATTTTTAAAACATATTTACTATCTTCCAACGCCTGTTACATCTGGCACTACAATACAAAACATGATAGCCGATACGCTGAAGTTATTTGAGCACGGAGACCTTCGATAGGGACGCGAAGGGGTTGATCAAATGCTGCCTCGTGTCCGTCGGCAGAACCTGCTTCTCATCACCAGCCATAAAACATGGCCGCAACCCATTCCCCCAGACCAAGAGAGTATCCGGCTGCAGCATACTACCAGCCTCGTCCAACACCACAGCCTCGGCGGTCCCGTTGAGATCCGCATACTGCTTGTCGCCGGCGGCATGTGGATGGTACAAACCACATCGGCCTCCTGATCACCATCCCCAAGAGTCTGATGATCTTGATCTCCAGATCACGTGCGCTCTCCGCCGATTGTTGGCCCAAATCTGTTTCCTGCTCACCCTCAACCCAAGTAACAATCTCTGCGAACGTATCGTCAGCGCGGATGGACTCTCTGAGCTCCCTGAGACGATAGGGCAAAAGAAAAGTGTTTCCCTCTAGCTGCTTCAGGGTGAGCCACAACCAGAATGCAGCGGATAGCTTGAACTGCCACTTGTTGGCCAATGATTGTCCCCCACCATGGCAGCAAGCGTCTGGGTCATGCCAGTTCCAGCACACCCCAGGATGACATAGACGCCCATGCGAGCCACGGTAAAATATTCATGAGTTCATCTCGCAGTCCCTCAACCACGTAGCCAAGGCAGAGCTCCTTCGGCGTGGGGTGAATGTTGTCCACAACAGAGAAGCAAGGAAGTGACTGGGGCCGCCGAAGTGCCATGGTCGCCATGCCGTCCACAGGCTCATCTCCTGTTGCCCTCCCTCGACGATGGCCGAAGGTTCATGTTGGCAGTTGCCAGAGACTTCCAGAACCCAGAACCGGTGAGAAGGTCGCGCTTGAGCAAGTGCTTGAACCAGTCGTCGGGGTTGGAGTCGCGGTCGTATGGGTTACAACCGAACGCATTGTAAACAGCGTTAACTCTCTCTTCGCAATACTGAGACCCACGTCGAACTTGAGGTAGATTTGCTGAAGACTCGGATAGTTCTGGGGGGTCCTCTGGCGAATTCTGAAGCCCAAGTCAAACCGATCGGGGCGGCGAACTATTAGGACAAGATCCGGGCGCGGCCTTATAGTGTTGTACTTATCCGTATCCAGGTAATACGGGGGCCAGACTTTGGTGTCCCTGTCCATCTCGGGGTCGTCCTCAATCTCAGTGGAAGAGGGCAACTTCAGTGGAAGACGGCAACTCAAAAGCAATGTCAAACCGAGCATTAACCCCGCCAACACAGCGATCGATTGACGACTTGAACCGGAGACGATTAGAACCCTACAGACGCAAAGCGTTAGCAAACGAAAATAACAACACGACAGCTCGTTCCCAGGCCCTCACATCCGGCTCCTAACCACACAACAGTTCGTTTGCAGACCCTCACATCCATCTCCTAGCCCTCGTTCTAGATTCCCAATCTCTCGCTCATGCCCCCGAGCCGCTTGCTCATGCCCCTAATTATTACTAACAAACGCAATCCCTCTCTGGAGCCTTTGGCATGAGCTCGTTATACTTGGCGATGTCCCATGGCCTAAGAGAAATGTCAGTTCTAGTGCATTGACAAACCAGGACACGAAATGCAATGCAACTTACCCGAACAGATACCCATTGAAAATGAGCGCCTTGTCCAAAGGCAACTTGTTGAAGAACCAGTTGTTGGTGTGTCTTACACAATCGAGAGATAGGACAACGAGGGTGAACCGTCTTCGGGCAGCAAATTCCAGCAGACGCACTCCATCAAAAAGACCATTGTTGAAAAGGGCCTTGTCGTCGGCGTCGGTGGCAGTGGTGGTCGGCATCCCGAGGTTGACCAACTGAGCAGACTTGCCATCCTTGACGGTAATGACAATCTCAGCGAGCTTCGATGGGTCCACTCGCTTGCCTTTGTTCACCATGGGCTGGAGAAGAGCCCTCTTGGTGGCTGAGGGGCACAGCACGGGCAGTAAACTCGCCATGTTAGACCCTGAAGTCCAACCGCTGAACACTGGTGATCTCTTCACGGGAGCTGAAATAGGTTGCCGAATCCGAAGGACTGCGAGGAATCGTGAACATGAATCCAACGGATGGTAAAGCACGTCGCTGAGCGGAGTAATGACCACGGTCGAATGGCATCAGGGATCAAAACACAACGGGGAAGGAACGCATAGACACGGCCGAAGAGCAGCACACCCGACTCGATAAGGTAATGGTATAAAATTCATTTTTCTTAGCTCGCACCATGGTGTAGTCCGAGACTTGAATGTTCAATACATGACGCGATCACAAAACCCCTTCCGGCTCGGCCATGGCTCAAAACACCTGCCCTCCCACTGAATCGCCGTCCCTTCTTTCAGGGAATACTCTTGACTAACACGAACCACCTTTGCTTCATGTTTCAGGGCCTCCCCATACGCAGCCAAATATCTGGCCCCAGTGCTGGAGTAATTGAATGGTAGATCACCGGCACAGGTATTGTAGTTAAACTGTGACTTGAGCGTGATTCCCTCGAGCTCCACGTCGGTCAAGCGTCTCAAGGCCATATTTTGAAGCTGTTCATCCGGCTGTTCCATCGGCTGAAAGCACGAAAACGTGCCTGATGAAAGGCATAAACACTTGTAAATTCTGAGGTGAATCCATAGCAATGTCAGCCCTGCCAAAAGGCTGTATCATGTAATGAGAAGCTTCGTCAGTTTGCCGCACCATGCTCCTCGCTTTCAACATCCCCAAACTCCGCCACGAAAGAAGCTCGTGTGCTTTGCCACAGTGGTGTTGAGTTGCCCAATGTCTTTGATGTGCAGACGTAAAGCAGGGGCAATAGGCGTCTTTGAAGTAAACCTGCATCAAATTAAAAGGCGTGTATATTAAATAGAGATAAAAATAGACGTGGTCTTGTCAGTAAACGTTGTCTCAGTGTCAGCAAGACCATGGGCCCTCCCTAGCCTCCGTTCCAATGAGTATTGTCCAAAGAGACCCGACTCTGTCCTTATCGTCATAAATCGTGACCATCGTGTGGAGAGACTTCAAGAGGTGTGCTGGTTTCCCATCTCGGAAATTCACCTCCGGGGTGATGTCATCGGGCCGGTGATGCTTGGCACGGACCTCGGGGCAGCTCCGGGACTCCACTGCAACCGACCTGGCGATCATGGCGTATCGGCAGCATGACGCTTGATCTCATCAAATCTTCCCTGCTCTTTGGTGTCCATTTATCGGCCTGAGATCTTCTCCCACAGACTGGATCCCTTTCGAGGATGGGCGGGTTCGACGGGTTTAAGTTGACTCCCCGTCAGCTTGTTGATGGCATCCAGTACCTTCAGGTGTTCTGTCTTGAGCGCCTCAAAGTCCTCGTCGAGCTGCTTATGCCACGGATATAAAACGGTCACCTGGAAACACAGCGCTGTAGTGGCAACGGCAAAGTTCGTGATGCTGACAAGCCTGGTGATGAAGGCCATTTTAATCTGTTGAAACAAGCGAGCGGTGATTGTCTGCCACAACTGATCTAATCGAGTACTGGATATTAGCAACGACTTGCATGATGCGCAATCTTGTCAAAATTATACGCACGGGACTGTCCGGTTGAGCGGAACTGAGGGGGAGTTGGACCTTGAAGAAAAGTTCAAGAAGGGAGAAAACGATGAAGCGGGGAGTTGCTGTTTATTAGTGCGGCGACGCATTTGCCGACACCCGGAGTGACAACGGATGGATCATGGATAACACGAGCTTCAGGTTCAATTTGTGGCAAAACTGGCGAGGGCCCCATAAGTTCACACACGACAGGGATGGATGATTAGACGTCTTCTCACGTTGTATCAGATGAATCATCGTCCCAAGTGATTTGTCCTTGCAGTGACTGATTGATGCTGGCGGGAAAAGGGACAGGAAGAGGTTGCCTCGGTATTATCATCCACGTGTCCACGTAGGGTGAGATTTCGTGATCCGGACCCAATGCCGGCGCCCACGCCGCAGCGGACCGAGACCAAATGCGGCGTTTTAGGTATAGCTTGAGACAACAAGTCCGTGTCGCCGGGTGAAGACGGCGTTTGGACCCACACTGCCGTCCGGTCTCGTGGGGTCAGAGTCATGCTAAGTTCCCAAGTGGCGTGATAGCGACCAAACGTGTATCAATCAATTCTCATTGAACACCCGGGCACGCAGCCAGGCGGCAGCGTCTTGGATACCATGCGGAGAGTGAAACCAATGCCCACCAGTCGGGTACTCCCGCCATTCCACCTGAGCACCGAAGCTTGAGAGGCTGTCCCGGACCTCCCGTCCATTCTGGACCCTAGAAAGAGGGTCGTCGGTGCAGTGTTGCACCAGCACGGGTGTCGTCCGCACTGCGCTGTCGTCCTCGGGGACCTCGGCCAGATCCAATATCGATCTCATTTTGGCTAATGTTCTGCCGGAAAAGGGCATCCTCCCACTGAAGACCATGAGACCCCCAAGGCCTTTAGCTACGTTGAGAACTGTATGCACAGCTGTCGCGCCGCCCTGACTCAGCCCTGCAAGGACGACTTTCTCTCGCTGTCCACCCAAGCTGGCCACCTCCCTGTCCACAAGCAACCGGATGCTTGCGACGCTTTCCTTCAGGCCCTCGATTTGGAGTTCTTCCTTTTCGTGTAAATTGGCAATGTCCCAGGTGTCAAACCATTGCGACATGCGGGCGCCGGGGAATCTAACAGGAGAGCGCAACTCGCTTTGAGGGAAGACCCAACGGACCGAGGGAAACAGCTCGGGGAGGGATGGTGATTCCGAGTCGCGCCATTCCTGGAAAGAGTGCATAAAGTTTCTGGCTGTGTCTCCGCGGCCGTGAAGGAAGATTATGGTATTTTCGTGTCCTGCGGTCGGAGGGATGGTGCAGACAGACAGCATCGCCATCTTGCGCTGTCTGTGGTTTCGGGATACACAGGAACAAACTGTGGGTCACCCGCCTGGAGCAGCCAATTCAGGGTGTCGTTCACGTTATCATATCCTAGGGTTAGGGTTACACAGAGTCCCTCGGCAAGCTTTGGATTGTTTTTTCAATTTGTAGAGAAAACAACATAAACAAGTTGGGGCCCCAACTTGTCGAATGAACGACTGATATGAAACAGGTACCTAGTTCCCTTCCTTTCGATACGTTTAGTTGTCCACCTCACTCTTCTGACTTCTCCAAATCTCCACTCAACCGTCCACAATCATGTGACCTTCTTGGACATGACTACCTACGCGTTTACACCGAGATGGCCATGGCAGGCGAGGCGGCCGCTCTGGTTGCTGACAATAGGTAATGAACGCTATCATTTGTACAAAGGCCCTAATAAAAGATGCTAATTAAACTTTTCAAGCTGGTGGAGAGATGTTTAAAGATAGTTGATCGAGAGGCTCTTCTTCTTAGGTGCATTTGTAGCTGGGCCGTGGCCGGTTCCCTCCATCACTCGCATCACCGATACCGTATTGTCATCCTGTCTACACGTCCAACTTATCGATCAGCGACCACATTCCATCCCATTCCCAATAGTCAACCATGCCTTCTCGACTTTCGGTAATCATATGCATTTTCCCAGCGGAGCTCCCTTGCGCCAGACTCCAGACTTGTTTTACCTCTTGACCCGGGCCAGCTGTTACCCTTTGGATCATTTCCCACTGTTCTCCCATTTGTGGACGCCATCGCCAGTGCTCCACAGCCCCATTAACGGCAACAACCAACTGAAAGCCGCACGGAGTAGTCTCATCCTTTGTGTCAAAGTTGTCCTGGATCATGACGGGAACTGCGTCCCCTGGGGCTCCTTCTCCGAAAGCCTCGCCCTCATTCCATGTGTCCGACTTTCCTTCTCTCCAGAACGTTTGCATCTTGCCGTTTTTCCGAACGGCAACTGTGTAAAGATTGCCGTGAGAGTTTCCGGAAAAATCATACATGTCGAATCCAATGTTGGATTGCACAAGGCTTGCACCACTCTGGGTGATGTTCATTGCAATTGGCGACTGCATCATTTTCCAGGCTGTGGACTGAGGCTCTTGCCGGTACTATTCGGTGATGACCTTGGTTAGTTCAAACCCAACACGCCTGATCCGCCGGTAGGCCACTAACCTCATTTAGGGTCCCATCGATATGCCTTACTACAAGTAGCAAGGACCCGTCATCAATCTGCGTGAATCCCGTGAATCCATCCACTTTCGATTGCCCCAGGCTCGACACCTGCGACCACTTCTTGTCCGTGTAGGTCCACTGCTGTATGCTTTTATCCTCAGTAACAGCCACAGCATGAAAGTCTCGATTTCTGGAGGTTCCAATGATGGACGGCTGACCAAGGACACCCACGCCCTCATCGCTTGACAACTGTGACACCTCGCTCCATTCACCAGTGTCGCCGTTCCTCGAGATGTGTCTAATGCCCTTGACCGGGTCAGACAAAAGCAGCTCAAAGTTCCTATGAGTCTCTCCGTCCCCGGACTGCATCATGTTCCCGCTTTGGTGCCTCCTCCGAGTCCAAGGGTCGGGGTTAACGTTTCTGAGACCATATTTGACCCAAATATCGATGTTCGCATTATCGTATCTGGGTACAGCCTTGGTTAGCCCCTTTAACTTCAGCCAACACAGAACAGAACAGACCTACGCAAAATAAACAAACCCTCCGTCACCCCAGGTCTTGCCCCAAGAATTCTTCATGATCCACGCCCCTCTTTCATCATCATAACCAACCACCAGGGCGATGTGGTTGCCCGTGTTGCCTGATGCACCGTCCCACGCATACACATGATGTGGATTCGTTGGGTCAGGCTTCCACTCACCAAAGTTGTCATACAGGATAAATGTTGCCACGATAGGTCCGTACTCATGGAGCCACCTCTTTTGATCCTCGATGGCACCAATAGCTTGGAAATTACCGATATGCGTAGTTCTCCCCGACCGGTCACTGCAGTGGACATGCGCTGTTGTACTGTCTTGATACGGATCGCACGCCCAGTCAGCAATGCCCGGCTTCTCACCCCCGTGGGTCGAGGAGTTGGTATTCCCTGCAACATACTGCAGTGTCGCTTCTGCACTGCCGGTAGTCTCACAAATCGCCCCGATACCATCGTGGACGTCTGCCTCGCTTCGCTTTGACCAGACAGAGTGTTCTATCCTGACTTGGGATTCGATGAGGGCTGTCACGGCAAAGGCCCAGCAAGACTGGCAGACTCCTTGGTCTTGAGGGGTGGTGATGAAGTTGACCCCTGATCGGTTGCGCCAGTCTACCACGGGTGGTAGAGAGCTCGAGGCAAAGTTGATGTTTGCGGCAGAAACCTTCTTGCTTGACGAGTGTTGAGCCTGGGGAAAGTCGCCCAATGGCTGAAAGATGGGAGCTCCAATGTCACTCCACTCGATGGGGGGTACTGAAGAAGCAGGGACTGGGGCAGGCCATGCTACACCTTTGCGCGGAGGAAGCGCATGGACGCCTGGTATTGTAAGAAGCGAAAGAAACAGCAGCTCAACCAAAGCCATGTCGTTCATGATGAAATCGCCTCCAAGAGAGAAACTTTTCCCATCAGATGCCGTCCATTCACGCAAAAAGAGAATCTTTTGTTGATGTAAATTTAAACTCTTTCTATAATGCGGCATTTGCAGCCCAGGAAGCATTACACGGACAGATCTTCCCGTCCCCACAGAATTCAGTGTTCGTTTGCTCGAGTGTAGTTCCGAAGACAGCCCTACTCGGACCTCTTATTGATGATCAATTTTTTCACCACCATGGACCCAGTTCCGGCGTTCTCTTCCACCAATGGTCGCAAGACCAACCGAACCGCCGTGGATCGAACCTGGTTCGACCCATGCCAGATCTCGCGTAGATCACCCGATGAGCCGTCTGAAACGCGGTAGAGACTCCACATCGGCACACGCATTCAGCCGTCTGTTTGGATGCGGGATTGCATCAACCGGTGGAAATCAGAACTTAACAGGACTCAACTATAGATTCTGTGGATACCCATCACAATTCCGGCTTTTGTAAGGGACAGAAGGAAGATTGGAAAGTGCTGCTAGGGGTATGCTGACAAGAGAATAAGAGACATCGATATGATATAAAGTGGTGAAGAGAAAGAATATACGCATCTCTACCATCTTTAGATATCTAGTAACGTATATTATAAGCGAGTCGTACATATAAGCGAGTCGTACAGTCTCCACCACGACGCGTCCTCCTTACACCTAACATCAATTTTTTCCATAACCTAACATGCCTCCTACTTCAAAGGAAGCCAGGATACTTTTAGCCCTTGAGGCTCTCCAAAAGGACGAAAAATTAAGCCTCCGAGCTATAGCTAAGCTTTACAACGTACCACCTATGACTCTCTCTAACCGACGCGCCGGCCGGCCTACATAACACGATACTACGCCTAGATCGAAAAAGCTTACTTAATCCGAAAAGGAGGTTATTATTTATTATATTATTAAGCTATCTACGCAAGCTTTTCCACTAAGGTTACGTAGTGTGGAAAATATAATTAATTAATTATTATACGTACGCGACGCGCCCCCTATTAGTAAACTTTAAATATATAATTTTATTAAACGTTAACTATAGTTTTATATATATTTTACGCGTAAATATAATTATTAAAGGGTTAAATACGAAAATCCGAAGGTTATTACCGAATAATTTACGTTTATATAGAATATTAAAGTTAAATATAGTATTATAAATAATAATATTTATAATTTTAACGAAATTAGGTTTATAATAAATATTATTTTTGTAAATATAATAATTATAATCTCGGACGGCTTTAGTAAAGTAAAATTAGTTTAGTTTAATAATCGCGAATAAAAAATAATAATTTAAAAAGTAAATACTTTTAATTAAATTATTCCGCCCTTTATTATTTTAACCGTATAATATTACTTTATTAATTAATATATTAAGTATAATTTATTATTTATTTAATATATTATAATTATTAATAATAATTAAATTATTAATTTAGTAAATTTAAATTAAATTAAGTATTTCGATTATTATATAACGTTCCGTACGAAAAATAAATATTAATTATTAATCTTTAATAATTATAAAAGTTATTATTTAATTAAATTCGAATACTATTATTAATAAAATAATATTATTACGCTTTATATATTTTTATACTTTTTTTATTTTTTTTAATTACTCGATATTAATTATTTTAGGTTATTAAAATAGGTATATAGCCGCTAGATCGAGGGTTTAATATATATATATATTAATTACGTAAGTAAGCTCGAGTTTCTTTATACCTTCCGCGAAACTTTTTTTACCTCTATAACGGAGAAAAATATATAAAGTAGTTTTATAAATATTAATTTTATACTATACGATTTAAGGAAAGTACTTTTTAAATTAAATATAAAGCTTTATACGCTAATACCTTTATTTATAAAGCCGGGTACGGTATTTCTTTAAGTATTTTAAATATTATAAAATCTTTAAAAAACTAATTTATATTTAACGTTTATTAAAATTTATATTATTAATTATTAAAATAACTTTCTGACTTTAATATTAAATACTATAAATTAATTTACTAAAAGTATAATAATTATAATATATTAAGTGGCCCTCTTATAGGTAGAGGTCTCTTCGCTCCGTAAGGCTAATAAGGTACTAAATAAGCGCCGGAGAGCTAAAAAAATACGTGTACGGCTCGGAGGATCACTTACTGTGCAAGATGCACAGGATCTACTAGACCAGAAGGCCGTGGGTGGGGAGGTAGTGGAAGAAATATAGCCGGATAGCGGTAGTGCAGGGGGGGCTCGTACGACGGTTCGGTGCTGTGGTGTGTGCGGCAAGCCTGGCCATAACGCGCGCACTTGCTAGGAGGCTGGGGAATCATCTGATTCAGCCGTTTCTGATGTAATTGTAGTTGCTTCCTAATGTTGTTGCGGTATAATTGAGGATAGTTGTTGTAGGGTGGTGGAGACTGTACGACTCGCTTATATGTACGACTCGCTTATATGTACGACTCGCTTATAATATACGTTAACTATCTTTTAATACCTATTCACCATCTTTAAATACCTACTTACTATCTTTAGATATTTATTTACTATCTTTAAAGCCATCGTAGTTCTCTTTGGGGAAATCTCAAGTATGTTTTAGTGCCACCATCTTGCGAGTAAGAAGTCATCGCCTTCTGTTAATGATTACCTTAGGTGTTCTAACACGAAAGAACGCCCTTTTAAAGACAAGGTCTAATTTTTGATATACTTCGATAAGTTCCAGTAAATAACGGATTCCTTAGCCACTCAACCCATGATATATTGATCACTGTTGGTTTTACGCTAATCTCTTTCACGAAAAGGTGTTGCAAGATCGCCTCCTAAAAGCAACTCCCTACCTAGGTACCAGGTAAACAAACTCCACGAGCAGCCCGCTCCTCATCACGAGTGGACCGTGACAGTACCTCCGTTGTTGAAAACACTGAGCTTCCTTCTCTCGATGTTCGGTAGCATGGGATTAATCGTGAAATCTGCAATTCCAGAATGGCTGACAAACCTATCTCCCAGCAAAAGGGAGATCGTCAGAGAAATTATTTCATGGCTTACATATCGAAATGGGTTACATTTAAGAGAGTAGGTAGGTAAACATAAGATGAACGGGGACATAGATAGGAGCGCATCTAGACCTATAACATTAGGTAAGGAAGCAGACATCCTGTGGGAGGATGAGTTGCTCCCGGATTCAGTTAGGTTGCTCTTTAGGGCTTCCGCCCTGTCGGCCAGGCACAAATTTTGTTAGTCCTAGATATGTCTTCTGCTCCCCGGAGATGTTTTTCCTAGTGCTGCTCAACATCATCACTTTTCTCGCAGTTCTGCTGGCGGCTCCACACATCCGCTACGAATCATGTGTTGCCCCAAAAATAGGAGGTATTTTTTTGCGATGCGGTGGGGGTTTCCGAAGTTGATGGTTTCCAACTTGCGGCGAAGAGATCGAGATTCAACAGGTTGAAAAGCAGGTTTTGACCCAGACCTGTGGGGAGGAGATGGGCCGTGGGAGTTGCGCTGTTCGGTCCAGCTAGACCAAGTACGTCTAGTGGATAGTGGGTGGTTGAGCGTTCAATCCTTGAAAATATCCGTTGTAAAACCAAGGCAGCAAATTTGCACATGCCCGTATGGATGCACAGCATTTCTCTCCATATCGGTGGAGTTTGGCCTTGACTCGCAACCCACCCGACCCTTGTAGAAACGAAAGTTCCTCTGTTCGGGTCCGGGAACCATTGGCATCTCGGTTGGGTTGGAGGTGTGTGTAAGGTAGGTGGCTTCATCGTGCATTGGGGGGTTACCATCAACCAGTGAGCTGTTATCGTCGGTTTTGGTTTCTAAGACGTACTCGGTCCTGCAACTCCAGTTCATGTAGACCGACGTAACTGAAGATAGAAATCCATGGTAAGGCGGGTCGTATTCGGGCATTGCTTGCCATGTTTTATGCAGCTCAGAGCTGTAGAGCTGAAGCTAGCTGATGGGGAGTCGGCATGCAGACCATCTGAGACAGGTATTTCCGCCTGCAGATCCTGCAAATCGCCACTCTTTATGGCCAAGCGTCTCGGTGTTCGAAATTCTGGTTCCTGATTCTCATCATCAGCAAAGCCGCATCCCGCATCATGCCACCATCAGCATGTCACCTTCAGCATCCGCTATCGGGTTGGCAGGTGGATTCTCGCAAGGTCCCCCACCATTTTTGGCACCGATTTTGTGGCGGGCGAGTCGCCGCGGGCCGTCCAGGAGTGCAGTAGCTCAACCGCCAAGCATCTTGACCATCTTGATAGCTGTCAGATGCTGCGCAATCCTGGTATTAGCGTGGGGCTCCCGTGGGATCGTCACAGGCATTACTCTGTATTTGGTCTGGTGCCTGATAGTGATAGTTCTCGCTGGCATGATCCCTCACCCGCTCCCAGACTACCATTGGGTCGAAGATCCGGCATCGTTCCCCTATAGGCGATCCAAGTTTCCCTCAGACCCCACGACGACTAGGTAACTTAGGTAGGCAGGTAGCGAGAGGAGTAGACACTGAAAGATGCAGCGTGACGTGAGGAGACGGGCATTTCAAATTCCCGGGAGCCCATCTTCATAAAGTAGCCGTTCTCCTTCAGTCTCGGATGGCTAGAGGTGTGCTGCAGGCTGCCAGTCCAGTGTGTGTTGTTGTGCAACGATCATCCGCAGAATCCATACCATGGTTCGTGTTCTGGCCATTCTCGGAGCCATCGCCTTCGGCCTCGGCTGTGCGGATGCCACTGTCTTCCCATACACATCAGTTTGCGAACAAATCAACGGAAATCTCACCAGTGCGAGTGATGTGATCTTCCCAAGTAAGACACCTGCAGAGAGCTGATTCGGTTTTTTGCAACTAACCGTTCGCGAGCAGTCCAGGCGGTCACGTACCAGAAAGAGACCCAACATTGGTTCCTATCCTCAGATCAAAACCCTTCCTGTGTGGTTCGCGTTGGGTCCAGTCAAGATATCTCCAGAGTTCTTCAGATCATCCGAGACACAAAGACCCCTTTTGCCGTCCAGTCTGGGGGCCATGCCTCCAATCCAGGCTTCTCTAGCACCACAGGCGTCCACATTTCCCTATCACTACTGGACCAGGTAGTCCTTTCTCCCGACAAGAAGACGGCGGAAATTGGGTTCGGCCAGGTAGGTCCAACAATCCAGAACAAGATGGGCACCTACTGATATTGCGACAGACCTGGGCCGATGTCTATGACAAGCTTGAACCACACGGACTCAACGTCGTAGGAGGGAGGGTGATTGGACCTGGTATCGGTGGCTTCACTCTAGGAGGCGGCTATTCATGGTGAGTCTCTTCTGTCACGCGTATCCTGCGTTGTGGTGTCGGATGCCGATTGCTCTTTTCCTGACATGATCAACATCGTGCATGAGGAAACTCCATTTCGGACAACAGTATTTAACCCCTGGGTAGGAAGACGAATCAGTTCGGGCTTACCTGTGATACGGTCGAGCTCTTCAACATTGTCCTTCCGGTCAGTACCTAGGCTTGTCCCCTTGTCCGGCCCTACCTATTCTGACATTCCGTCACAGAACGGCACAGTCACCACGGCGAGCCCAAGTTACAATCAAGACCTATTCTTTGCCCTCAAGGGCGGCAAGAATCGCTTTGGTATTGTGACCTCCGCAATTTTCCGAACTCACCCCCAAGGTCGAGTCTGGGGTGGACTCCGCATCTACCCCTCTACCTCTGTCCCAGCCCTTCTCAACGCCACGCGTCTCTTTCAAACGGAGAACACGGATCCCAAGGCGGGACTCATCACCACTCTCGAGGGTGGCGCCCTTGGCACTACGGCGCTTGTTCTCATGTTTTACGATGGCCCTGAGAAGCCCCCCATTTTCGACCTCTTCGATGGCATCCCTTTTCTGGTTAGCGGGACGCTCCCCAATCGCAAGTGGACCAACTTCATCGCCAGCTTTCCCGCCGAGCTGAAGCTGAACCTCCGGGGAACCTTCGCCAGCGTGTCGACTTCGACACTGACCACGAGGTTCCTGGACGCCATCAAGAATGAGACGGACTCGATTGGGTTGACCAAGGGCTTGAAGACCGGCACGACAGTGTCATACGACATAGAACCTTTCACCCAGTACGGTGTACATGCCACCGACAGCGCTTTCCCCCACGCTGACTCCCCTCTGCCTGTAAGTCATAGCATCAACCCCTTGCCACTAACCGTGACCCTGACACTGACTGGTCATTAGCTGAATCTTTACTTCTCCTGGGCCAGCGCTGCCCACGATGAGTATTGGTATAACCGGATGAAGCAGTCGATTGCTACGCTTAAGCAGGTGGCTATTGAGGAGGGTATCTACTCAGAATCCTTCACTTCGTATCCAAACTATGCGATCTCGGGGACAACGGCAGAGGAGCTCTACGGCGAGGCTAATGCGGAGAGACTGAGAGAGATTAGAGACATCTATGACCCCGAAAAGGTCATGGATCTTGCGGGGGGATTTGAGATTTGAAGAAATGTACCCAAGGTACTAATGTAATTACTGTTCAATTTCAGTGGTCGAGAAGACCACTAGATGTTGGAAGGAAAATGTAAAATATTGTGGCGCCTTGTTCTTTTCCGGTTGTCATACCCTGTTGTGATGAAATGTGCGTTTGGTAGCTATCCAACCCCTTTTCTTCACCTCCATAGTTGCCTCTCGGCTCATTGGTAGGATATTGCGAATGTCAGTGATAGGAAACGCTTTGGTGCTTCGCATCCAGCTGTTTGCGAACTCGTCCTGTTTCACGGTTCCCTGTGGTGGTTCGCGGTACACTTTCATCCATCATTCTGCTGCCCCATAAAGTCCTTTACAATTTCCGTGACCCTACTTCTCCTTTTAACGCGAGTCGGTGTTGCTGGTGGCGGTTGGCTAGACCGAACAGCGGTTCGCAAAGTCTGCTTCAGGTCAGTTCCTTTGACCTAAATTGTTAATTTTGCTATGAGATGAGCACCCACGAATTCTAGTAGTTCGCGCACCCCAAATCCAGTCTCTGGATCACAAAAAAAGTAGCTTGTGGCTCCAATGTCCTTTGTAATGCAGAGAGGGACGAAGTCATCCGAGTCTTGCGGTTCTTGGAATGGACCGGCGGCTGCGTCTTCATCTGGATTCTTCAGTCCAACCAACACAAGGGGTACCTCCGGACAATAGCTTTTAATTTCCCATGTCCACTTTCCCAGGATCGCGTCTTTAGCGGCGGTAGGATTCTCGGCGCGGAAGCACAAAAGAACTACGTCAGCCCCGTTGTATGAGAAAGGTCTCAGTTTGTCGTAGTCTTCTTGTCCTGACGTGTCTTTGAGCTCAAGTTGAAGGTCGACTCCGTCTACTTGGCAACCGATGACGCAACTATCAAAGACTGTTGGGCTGTATGGTCCTGGAAGTCTGTTATATGCGAAAGCGCTGAGAAGGCGTGTTTTGCCCGCATTTCGGTCCCCTACAACCACACACTTGAACCTCGTGCGAATCGGGGGCTCTTTGAGTGGAGAGGCGGGTTGGAAAGCCTGATCTTGATTGAAGGTCAAAGTTTCGTCGATGGTTGACACAGAAGTCTCGACGTCGTGTCCTTTCCGGATGCTAGCGGAGCGGATCGAGTTGAGACGCAGACTGACGGTATCAGAGATGAGATCTTCGTCGTTTTGTGAGGCAAGAGCAATCTCTTCCAGTGTCTCTAGATCGTCAATTTCGGATATCTCAACCTCAACGATATGGCGTTGTTTGAGAGCGATATCTCCGAAGCAGCGAGTCATGGCTTCAAGATCGTCGTTCAAATCTTTAAGATGCTGGATCAGTTGTGCAAAATGTTCCCTGTCCGAAATAGCCCACGAAGCGGTATTCCAAAGTCGGGAGGCTCTTTGTTGTTTCTTCCAGAAGAAAAAAGGGCGTCTTGTACCCAGGGAGCTTGAACCCAACAATTGTAGGGCTGGTGCACGATTGCTACCACGCTGCTTTGGTGGCACCAGCCCATATCGATTTCTGAGAAGCGACTCATCCTGGAATAGGTCCTTGATACACTCCAGAGTGGCTGTTACTCTTGATCGTAGCACGGGATCATCAAGTCGTTTGTCGTACTGCTCCATGCCCATCCCCGATAAGCCACAAGCCTTGCCCCAAGAGAGTAATCGTAGCTCTTGGTTGTCGAATTTCGTCTCGAGCAGCTTAAAGTCCCTCTCCAATCGAGCTCCCCGCCGAACCAACTGATAACACCCGGCGCATGTTGTGAATAGGCCTGCCAGCCCTATCACACCAATAGCGAGGCCGGCCGTTTCGGCCATTGTTGGTGGAATGTTAGTCAAACGGAGATTCTGCAAATGAAGGATGGAGCGCAGGGCCCGCAACGTTTTGTCCTCTCCTGGGTCAACTCGGACTTGACAGATTCTGGGGGGCCAAAGAAGCCGGGCAGTGCAGGGAGGCACAGCATCCCAACGTAGTATGCACCTGCTGCTGCTGCGGGGAAGCCATCGACAGTCTACCCTAACCCTGTTTTATGGGTAATTCCTATGCTGACAAAATTGAACCTTCCTCGACTCCTACAAAAGGATGTTAGGTATCTTTTAAGATCTCGTAACTATCTTTCCAAGGCGTAACAACTGTCTTTGAAGGCCTCATTATATCTTTCAGTAGGTACCCTTATCCTCACCAGCAGTCCCAGCTTTCTTACCTACGACACATCATGTCCTTCCACTGCGCTTATATATCACCATGCCTTTTCCCGATAGGATTCACAGGATTAAAAAATGCAAAGTGTCCAAGAGGATCGTACTTTTTCTTGAGCTGCTTGAGCTTCTTTAGCCTCCAAGGCTCATATCTGCATTAGGACCGTTAGCGTGCTACATGCTTGACCGGTCAAGGAGAAAAACATACCCGTAAAGAGCCTGAACAGGCTCATCACCATGGGCATAGTTGACGTAAGTCTTCTTTTTGCTCGAGCCGGATGCCGCCAAGTACATCTCTCGGGACCATTTCTTGGCCTTTTCGTCAAGGGTGGCATTGCCCTTTTGCCAGAATATCGCCGGTGCACTATTCCAAGGTCAGCATTGGCGAACAGCTCTATCTGGTCGTTGTGGGACATACAAAAGCAATCTCTCCCCTCGAAGAGCAAATGCCGTGCTCTTGTCAGGAACGGCCTGGACAGCTTGCGTCGAGTATCCCTCCAGGATACAGAAGCTGGTTTGAAAGGCGGGCTCTGTCATGAGTGTGGCGGCGAACGCATCATACCACTTCCGCAGGGATTTCACATCATACTGGTCCACATCTATCCCTCTCAACAGACGGTTTCCTTGTCCGTCGGTTTGGCATGCATACTGGTCAGCCGCGTATCCCAAGCTCGGGCTTAGCTCGGGGTAATCAACTTCCGCAGAGGAGTATGCGTCCGGCTTGAGGTCGTGAGTGTCCTTGGAAAGCTTTTTGAGCTCGGAAAAAGGGCCGTTGTAGATCCACTGGAACTGCACTACTGGCTATTTTTGTCTGTCAGCATCAAGCCAGCTTTCTGCACTCGCTGGGAAGCCCAATTACCTTCTCTGCGTCCACCGCCGGGTTCAAGAACCAAGTCCCCCACATCAGCAACCTCGGATCCCCCTTCCCATCAAGCTTCTTGTTTGCGTACTTGTATACCTCCTCCAACCTCTCACTCTTGAACGTAAAAGTCTCGATGCTCCATTTCGGCTCCTTGACATCATAAACCCTGTACTTCATTTCACTCACAATGCCAAAGTTGTGACCAGCGCCCCTCATCCCCCAGAACAGCTCTTTGTGTTTTTTGTCATTCACAACCACTACCTCCCCATCCGCAAGGACGACCCTCAACTCCAGCACCTGATCGGCCATCAGGCCATACTGGCCTTGAAACCAGTTATGGCCTCCGCCGAGCGCAGGGCTGACCGCACCGACGCATCCACAGCCACCAGTGCCAGTCTGTTTGCCCCTCTTCCAAAGGTAGTCAAGAACATCTTTTGACTTCATCCCCCCTCCGATCGTCGCCCATCTGCCCGACTTATCGAGGTCGATCTTGCGATTGAGGGACGATAGGGAGATGCCAATTCCGTGGAAACGTCCCAGGCCATAATCCGAACCGTGGGTTTGGGAGAAGGCAAAGAAGGGGATTTGGTGCTGGTTGGCGTACTTTACTGATTCGGCGATGTCGCGTTCCTCGGCGACTTGGATGATGGCGGAATAGCTCGGGCGGGAGAGTTCATTCCAACGCTTTGATGCGCTCGGCCAAAGAGACGAGGAAGGCAGCAAGATTTTGGCAGTCGGGGAGAGCCTGGGTGTTAGTTCGGAGAGGATGTCCGATGGGATGGCAGTGTAGGCTGCCGCGGTGAAAGAAGAGAGCAGCACGAAGGCTAGAATTGCGAGCGAGGACGACCACATTTTGGCGGGTTTGAGATGGAATACAAAGCTTCAGCCATCGTCAACGAACACGTACGCAGACGGGCGGACTGTTAAATAACCATTGCACGACATCGGAAGAGTATTATCGAGCTCCGAAACTACGTGTATCGGATCACATCCACTGGGCGAGAGATGCAGCTGTGGACAACCCCGCAGTGAAATAGAGCTGAGAAGAGGGACTATCGATCAATACACAGCGGAACAGTACACGACAGTCCCGAACTAATGAATCACGGAGGTTTTCGCCCCCACCGGCGAGCATCTGGCGGCTCCGATTGGAACACTGCCCGGGTGGCTTGTTGGGGGCGGTGTTCATGTCGTACTGCCATCGCTGTACCACGGCACGATTTTAGAAAGGGGTGTCATGACTCAGGCGAGGTCTCAGTTCTCAGTCTAGATAAGGTAGGCAAGGTAGGTAAAATCTTGAGGTATTGAAACTCTTGAGTCCATAAGAGAAAAAATACTAAATAACACTAGGTAGGAACGCCAAAAGACGTACCAGTGGAAGGAACCAGAACCTGACCGTAAGTAAAGCGAGTTGGTGTCTTGGTGATGCAATAAATACATTGGCGATATTGTGCTGCTGCCCCCTTGTCCACCCCGTGCAGGGACGTGTGCCTATCAGACTGAACTTAGAGAATAATGGCACCGGCCCCAACTATCACACCGGCAACGAGGAGTCCGCTACTCCTCACAATCATCTCGCTTGTCCCCGACTTTGGCTGGTCATCCTCGTCATCAGAATCCGAATCGTCGTCTCCAAAGACCTCATTGAAGCCAAAGGTCTTGTTCTTGCCGTTGATGTCGAAGCTGACACCGCCGCTGACGCTGGCTTGGAAGCCGGTATTTGTTGGGGTTGCCGTTACACCTTTGTCGGGGCCATCCTGGGCTGTGGTGAGGGTGGCAAAGAGGCCAAGGAGACTAACAAGAGAAAGGGTGTACTTCATTTTGATAGGGCGATAAATAAGATCATAGGTTTGTGGTGATATTTGTAAAGAGCTTTTGTGTTGAGTGATTGTTAATTCCTACAATGAACCGAAAGGACCTTTGCAACCCACCGTCTTATATCTCATCGGTTTCCAAGTCAAAAGTACTGCATTGATTCCAAGTTGCCCATGGCCTTGAATCTCGCCGCCCAAATGGTCGATTGTGTGACCAGAAACAACTCGCCCACAATTTGTTTCCTTGGTCCAAACATGGGCGGCCCTCGATATTTTTGAACGGGGTATACTTTTCATCTCTTCGCCACCTGGTTGACGCGTCCCCGGCCAAGGTCGATCAGCTACACACCAGCCAAGTTATGCATAACTGTATTAGTGAAATGATTAGGACTGGTCAATAGGTAGGGCTGGCGGTTGAGGGGTGGTTGCAGAATGGTGGGTTGGGCGCGATCCGGGCCGCCATCCGGTTTCAGGAGGCAGTTGGCCGGATGACTCCACCTTTGGCCGTTGCAGGACAAAATAACTGGCACGGAACAATACCTCAAGAGATAGTTCATAGGTCTTAAAAGATGACCGATAGACTTAAAAGATTATTATGTGGCCTACTTTTTCATTTTTTTTAAAATAGGTGTAAGTTGGTGTATGATGCTTTAGCTACCTAGGTACCTTGGGAAGTAACAGGTTCACAAAACGTTTATATTTTATTTTTTATAATTAGCAATCTAGAATATATTATCGCTATATCCGGAAACGGCAGCCTTCACGACCAGGTATAGTGCGCCGTCAGATTCGCGTCCTCATACAGTCTCCCCGCGCCCGCCGCATAAATAGAGCCCCCTGCTCTCCGACGTCTCTCTCTTATATATACTTTCGACATTTTCTCCTCCCCCGTATTCCCCTTTCGCTCGGTCCCTCGCCTCCTTATTTACTTCGCTTTTCCCCTATTTTTTTCGTCTATAGCCCGCTTATTTACTATCGTCCGCGCTTCAATATTTATTTGCACTACAATAAATACTTTACCCTTATCTTCTTTAGCGTCTCCTAATTATACCCGTTATTATATTACTTATCGAAATTTTTTCGGCCTTCATAGTTTTTATAGTATATTTCATTTATTATAATTTTTAAACTTGACTTTAATCTCCGGCTTCGAACCTTCTTTCTTTTTTTGAGCTCCTTAAAACCTACTTCGTTTCTCTTCGTTAATGATACTATACCTCGTCTATCTCCCTCGCCTCTACTTTCTAGCATACCTCCTTTTGCCCGAAGGTTTAGAATATTTACCTACTGAATAAATTTCCCATTCCTTTTTTTCCCCGGGTAATTGTGACGAACCCCTATCCAGAACCTCTGAAAGGGATACTGGTCGGAGGCACTTCTAAACAATCCTAGTTCGGTATAGCTAAACAGTGTATAATAAATGGCTTGTCTCGATCACAACAGTCTAGATACCAACGATTGTAACTTATAACTATTACATACTGCGGAACTATCTATCTACACCAGCCAGTTCCTCCGTATACATAGACCTTAATCCTCCAGTGCCACAGGTAAGCCAACAGGCAAGACGGACCGTTGTGCGGAGCACACGCACAATCAATCGTTTGTAGAACCAATCAGGACGGGAGTAGCCTCATCTGTAGGATCATTGCCAAGAGTCAATAATCCAGGAAACCACTAGGTCTATATATACGGAGGAACTGGCTAGTATAAATAGATAGTTCCGCAGTATATAAATTAAGTTATAATCGTTGGTATCTAGACTGTTGTGATCGAGACAAGCCATTTGTTGTACACTGTTTAGCTGTACCGAACCAGGATTGTTCAGAAGTGCCTTTAACCAGTCTCCCTTTCAGAGGTTCTGGATAGGTGTTCGTCACAACTGTTTAGCTGCACTGAACCAAGATTGTCTGAAAGCGCCTTCGACTAGTATCCTTTTCAGTGGCTTTGGATAGGGGTCCGTCACACTAGATTCCGGACTTGAATACTTTCTCGAACTAACCGCCCCAAGACTGAGACGCTAATTAGAAGGTAGATCTGCTAGGTTACCGCCCGGAGCTATGGCGCTTATGGGAGGGCGTAGTGAGGTGGAGTCGTAGGCCCACTAATGAATTTGGAGGGGGGCAAGGTACCGAGTACTTGGCTACGACCAATCGCTCCGCATTATTTAGATACCTGAAAATAGCGTTCCTGCCCTACCAAATTTGGCGGCTAGAACAGCAAATTTCATACTTAATCTATAGTTTGGTTACAAAATCCCCTGCTTTCTCTTCCATTTCTCCTCCCAACCAGGGTAAAATGGACTTTGTTCCAGCGTGCTCACATCCCAATCTCCCGGCACGACTCCCTCCTTGACCTGCTCATCAGCCCACCCCTTCAAGGCTTCCAGTGCCACATTCTTGACGTTCCTATCTGACTTGTAGTCAATCAAATTCTCCTTCCCTTCGCTCAACACCTTGTGAAGTAGCGCTGGCACAAACGGCTCGTCCCTCAGCTCCTCCAGCGGAGTGAATATAGCCTTGAAGTTGAACACCACCGCCCCGCTCACCGGCAGCCTCCTCAGCGTCTGGGCATCACACCTCAGCTTCAGCTCCTTGACCGTCAGCTCCGCCGGTCGATCCGCAAAAGCACTCCGGCTCCACTTCTTTTCGTTCTCCCCTTGAAACGCGCCCACGCCAGGCGAGGAAAACATGGCTTGCCAGTCCTCGATGCTCCATGAGGCTCTCATCACTGGCTTATCTGTTGGTAATTTGGCAAACCACCGATCAAGGGAGAACTGCATCTTATCGGCGTCGGGCACATGGGTGTGAATCTTCTTCATTGGCTGGTCTTTGTGTTGGGCTATATGCCACCCTACGCTGCTGCACACGCTAGCCGCGCGGAGGTAATACAGACCATCTTCCTCGTTGCGGAGCATGATGGCGTAGTCTTCGGGGATGTTCTGGAAGATGACTTTCAGTGGTGGGGTAGATGTCAAGTCGGTGACAGTCTCGAGAAGGAGATTATGGAAGAGTGTGTTGTCGTTGGAGAGGTGAAAGTGGCAAGGGTATCGGCGGCAGAGGAATTGGATGAGCATCTCCATTAGTTCACGGCAGGCGAGGTCGGCCCCGGGGCCCTGGAAGAAGATCCGGTCGGGGTGCTTAGCAAACAGCTGTTGCCGGGCGGCCATGGTGGGAAGGTAGTTCTGTTCCAGCTCGATCCAAAAATCGGGGTTGTATTTCATGAGTGCTGTGCAGTAGAAACAGTGAGAATGGGGGGACAAGTCATGGAAGGTCAGGCATGCAACTGACCCATGTTCTGTGTATAATTCCACCTGAACGGTCTAAACGGCCTGAAGATTGCCCTCTTGATGTCCCATGATGGCGAAACTGGGCTCGGGTGTGGCACTCCACTCAAGCTCGCATAGTCAGGAAAACGGCCGACCAAAGAGCGGACTTCTTGGGTTGAGAAGCCGGTTGGGGTGTAAAAGTTGTCAACAGAGAAATCAGGTTTCCTGGTAGTGGTCAAGGCTCGGTTCTGCAAGACTTGTGGTGAGATCTCGGCTTGATCAGCAACGGAAAACTTTTCAAACTGGGAAAAGCTGCTGAGAATGTGTCGTCGCGAAGGAGGGAAGGTGAGTATGAATAGGTGTGGCGGTGATGCCGTCGTCCTCTTTGAGGCATGTCTGACGGAGGCTACGAGCAGCACAATACCAGCAACAGCCGCTCCGACGACAACAATCCAGACAGGAAGGTCCGTGGCTGACAAAGAAAGAATAGTATTTGGCGCCATTCTGGCCAACCTTTCCACGATGCTTGATGTTGCACGGCGTTACCAGCAAGGAGGTTCCAGACGGTTTTTGTAGCTTAGGTACGCCGTTTGTCCAACCTCCAGCCCCCGCATCCCGACCAACGTCAACATGAAGTGGTCGCCGTCGTTGACAGCCCGATGTTCCGATCCGATGCAGTTGCGCCTCATGAGGGGCAGATACCGGCCACCAACGACAGGCCAGGGACTTGTGAACTGAGAAGGGCATAAAAGTCCGATGACCATGGTTTCCATTGGATGGGAGGTGGGTGCAGAAAGGTGCGGTATCACCAACCCCGCATCAAACCTTGATAAGGCGACCCAGCTTTCTTATCAACCCAAGCAACCTTATCAGCACTTCCAGCTTGGAAACAACGTCTCAGATCGGATCCCGAGTTGTCATCGGTATGCGGGAATGATTCGGAATTTTCAGCATCTTCACTGATAGATGCAGTGATCAAAATCACATGATAGGGGAACGCCTTGCTCAAGACAGTGATGTGAGCGGAATACTTTTCTGGGGATGAGGGCTATGATTAAAGAAAGAAAAATTACTTCTTGTTGGCACTGAATACCTACCTGTTTCTTCACAGTGACTATTTATGACCGCTTACATTGGGACAATGCGCGGCTGCGAACATCATGAACCCTGAAATCAATGCAAAGGTATATAGCATAGGTAGGTGATGTTGAGCAGTTGGGAGAGGAGGACATTTCTGCCAAAGTCATCGTCAAGAGACGAAAACAAGAGCCATCACTAACGGCGGAACCTCCTGCCCCAACTTCAACCTTGGCCTTGTTTGATGAGGCTACCTAGGCATGTACACTCGTCTATTTCCTCCACTAAGACTGTCTCTTGCACAGTGATCAGTACGTTCCCCTCTTCAAGGTTCCATCAACTGCCAGATACACATATGAGGTGGCTTTACACCGTCATACGCCGACTGTGACGGTGTGTCACCATTCTCTGTTGGAATACCGTAGGTAAGGTAATAGAGCTATTTGGTACTTTCAAGGCCTATCAGCTGCCTTTCGAGTGGGTTTGAGCTAGTTATCCTCCGAGACTGCAGTCTGTTGTGTTTGAGAGATGCACAGTGCTTGATCGTTTCTGAGAAATGCCCAGGGACAGTCGTCATAATTTTGGCAGCCATAGAGTGCTTGCGTGTTCCGCGGGCCATTGCAAATTGTTACGGCTATGGGAATGCTTTGGGCGGTTCTATAAAGACTCTTGTAGATGAAAGATTGATGTGGAAGAAATGAATCATCTGCCAAGTGTCTTGGAGCCGCGCCATCAGTCGGTCTTGTTTACAGCGCGGCTGACGGATGGGATGGTACTGCAAACACGATCGACCGTTTCGGGTCAATTTGATGACGCGTCCTATCGTATCTACGGAAATTTTTGCGGTTCATCTCTTTATCACACCTGTGGATGAACCATCAATGGTCTTCTGGTCATCGGGAAACGGGATGTGGCCGGCAAAGACAGTGTAATCAATTCTTCAATACTGCCACCAACATGTCCCCTTGTTGATGCCAGCGTCTGGTAAGGATGGTGGAGTAACTCAGCTGGAGAAGGAATGCGCCGTGGTCGGCTTCTAGCAGAATAGAAAAACGGGCCTTGATTGTTTACTTCCCCTGAGAAAAGCCGATTGGTGGTTCTACCATTTCGCCAAGACATCTGGTTCCAGGAACTGATGACCCACGACTACCAACTCCGCCGGGACGAGGATTGTTCACTATGGAGCCGTCAAGCATTGCGTACGTCCGGCTCTGCGGGCGGCATATAGCCCTCCTGTTGGAAGACTGTTGATCCAAGACGTGATGAGATGGGTAATATGGCAATGTTGCCATCCGACACTGCTATATCATTAGGCGGTCTGTTTAGCCGCATGCGCTTATCCGCGAGATTCAGGAAACGGCACAATGGCTCCCCAGATTCCCAGGCTTCCCAGCGTCCTGGTCGAGGGCGTTCGAGCGTTGGATGGCCCCCCTTTGATGTCACCAATCGTCACGATGTTACCACTCCGCATCGCGATCGTTCGGTAGTTAACGAACCGCTGTCACACACACTACCTAGATATCCTCCGAGGCTAGTGAGAAGCGAGTGGGAGCATTCCGTTGTGGTGTGTGACAACTGCTTGTGTTGGATGGGGAAAGGTCGACTTTGTCGAGGGAAAAAGGTGTACACCTCTCTCGTTTTCGAGTCCGTGTGACACGACCCAGCAAACCTGCACAATCAACTTTGTTTTAATTGTCGATCATTGTCTCAACTTACTCGCACCAATCGGCTGAGAAACAGGCGTTTTTGCGTGTAATAATCGTCATATCACGATATTCTGATAATATCATAGACCTTTAACGCATCCAGCAATTGCCGCTTCTTGTCCCCTCTCGCTTAGGACAGCCTCTCCTCACTTGCCCTGGGATCAGCCGTTCTAGGAGCAGAGCCGATTGGGACATTTGCTATAGCACGTCATGTATGCGTTCTAGAATCCCTGGGCGGACTACACATTGCCATGCCCGGAGTGGACTTTTTCCAGATTGACTTACGTCTATCACTGATGCTCATGATCGTGACAAGACCTCGCGTGAACGCGGCCCCCCACATTCCCGAAGATGATGTACCGATCGAAGAGTATTGAGATGACCAAATCAGCAAGCAGTTCACATAATCGAAGGCGAAAAGGAAAGCTCGAGGAGGGGATTCAGGTATATAACAGCCATTCCTTTCCACTGCCAAACCTGAATTCCTCTTTCCTCATTACCCTCGGACAAGCCTCTCTGTCTTACCCTCTCAACAGTCAGACCAACCAAGCTTAACGCTCCACCCCAGCAAGCAACTTCAAGATGCATCTTTCCAAGTTCTTGATCACGGCCATCTTTGCGGCCCCGTACGTTGCGGCCCTCGCCGTGCCCGTCCAGGACGCCTACAACGGCGACATCGAGGCCCGCTACGCCGAGCCTGAGGCACTCCCCATCGCCGCTGTCGATGTCGACGCCGCCGAGGTGACCGGCATTGACGTTGACGCCGACGTAACCGACAAGGGCAAGGGCAAGAAGGGCAAGAAGGGCAAGGGAAAGAAGGGTAAGGGCAAGGCTAAGGGCAAGGCTAAGGGCAAGGGCAAAGCTAAAGGCAAGGGAAAGGCCAAGGGAAAGGGAAAGGCGAAGGGGAAGGGTCCCGCTAAGCCTCCCGCCAAGGGCAAGGGAAAGGCCAAGGGCAAGGGCAAGGGCCCCAAGGAGGAGGGTGAGGCTGCCGAGTAAATAACTCGCACCCACAACTTCGAGTGATCTTCTTTGACGAAGACATGACACACAGAGGATGGGGTGAATGACTGGCCAGTCAATGGGGTGGTGTCGATTGCTTGTATTTACTTTCTACATTGCTTCCTGAAAGGCTAGTGAATGACGCGGACGACGGTCCGAACGCCATGATGTACATTTCCACGCTTTGCGAGCGTCAGACAATCAAGAACTTCTGATGTTGCTGTGAAGTACGCAGTATCAAGATGATGATGTGATTGTTGTATTATCCAAAACGCATGCAAGTCGTGAAACGGCGTAAACACAGCCCTTGCTTGATAGATTCACTCCATCAGGGATCTGCTTCGTCATCATCCGTTTCAACTTCAACCCAGTTCAAACCCTCACAGGGCCTCTGCCAAAGCTCAGAGTTGCCGAGCTCAGCCGGGTATGTCCCGGCTACACCAAGTATGCACTCATCAAGACCATGGATGGTCTTGAGATTGGGAAGCTTCTCTTCCTTTTGCGCCAGCAGCTCATCGACATGTGCATCAACTTGAGCAAACTTTCCCTTCTCGTAGCCATACAACTTCAAACTCTCCAGATTCGGCGGCAAAAGATCAACAAGTCGATGCTTGAGAGTACGGATCGTGACTTTGTACTTGCATGTGTCATCGTAGCCAAGTATATTTCCAATTCTCTGTGTGACGTGTTAGTAAGCCTGTCATCCAACATCAACAGCAGAGCTCTGGGCATGATACATACAATGCTCAAGTCTGTCAACTTGGTAAAGTCCTTCATGGAGCCAATCGACCCGCCTTCGTAGTCAAACGTGTCCGGCAAATCCACCGCATAGAGAGGCAGGTCTTCCTCCTTCTCCCCACTGAACGATCGATCCAAATCGAGATATTTTGCATCCGGCGGAGGAGTGCGACCTCTTCCTCTTCCAGTGTCACTCTGACTACTTCCATATCTGCCATAATAGTACTCAGGGTATTCATCCTTCTGGTGCTCCAACAAGGCCGGGCGGTGCTTATCGTACTTCGAGGGATCATAGAGTCGAGCGTCCAAATCCAGAACCTGCAGGCTGTCCTTGTGCTGCAGAAGACACTTGCTCACGGTCTTGGGTTTCACGTCGTATGTATACGCGCCATCGGTGTTCCAAAGCCCGGCATTGGAAAAGGAAAAGTGAGTGAGAGCCTGGGGGATGCGGATGATGCTGCTGAGAATGGCCCCGGAGATATCAGAGTGGCCAATGGTAATTTTCGAAATGGTAGAAGAAGACTTGGGCTGGAAGGACGTATTGTCGGGCTGATAGTCTGAGATAGCCTCGATTTTGACGGTAGAAACTGACGGCAGACGATGAAAGTAGCGAAAGAAGCCAAGGGATCTGACAGTGTCGTAATTGCACCCATCAATAAGGCAGTGATTAATGGCTTCCACATGGACAATTTCGAGTCTCTGAAGTGTGGGTTCGGTGATTTCCCCGTAGTTGTTTTGGACGAGGTACTCGTCCAGCAAGGTGCCCAGTATGAGGGTCTCCGGGTTGAAGCGGAGCCGTTTGATGTTGGGACAAAGCGAGATAACGAGAATGGCCAGGGCCTCATGGTAGTGAGGAATATCCGGCCATCCCGAGTTCCAACGGATGCGCTTCGCTGGGGGCTCATCATCCTGGGTGTTGACCTCAGATTTCGCCTTGTCTTTCTTTCTCGGGACCCCTTCCAGGATTTTGGTTTTCATATCGTCACTGACCCCAAGGCTCTCGATGTATTTGACCACCAGTTCATGGTCCCCATCATCCAGAGCAGGATCTGGCTCGCCGTTCATGAAGTGCCCAAATCTCTGGGGAGGGTCGACGATGAACTCTTCCACCAAAAGGGCTGCATCTGGATTTTTGAGCCAATTGAGGACGAGTTTGGAGCATCGAGTCGCATCCTCGTTACGCAGGAGGCATACTCGCTTGTAGGATGGCGATGACATGGCTGTCGTATTCGTCTCGATGATGTGAAGAGAGAGAGTGTTAAGAAGCCTGAGCACCTAGGTACGGAGTTTCGTAGTAAGATTGACCGGAGGTGTTTTATGTCTCTTTGCAACAACATATTGCCAACCTTCTCCTGAACCTCAACACCAGGCAGCAACTGCTAGCTTGAGCCAACCACACAGTGCTGCCTAGCAACAGTGGGGGCGGGAACATTCAACAGAGAGGTCACGTGATGGGAAATAGGGGTTTCAGGGGGAACATGCAGTTGTCCCATTGGATGCAGTCGTTAAAAAACATCACTGCTCCAAGTCCAGTTGTCCTCTAACCCTTTGCTGCCTATCGTGGCTCTTCCAGGATCGGACTTGGTCTTGTTCTCATCTGGTTTTGGAGACTCCGGTAATGGATACATCCTTCCTTTGGCCCTATGCCCCTCTATTCCGGGGTCCGATATCACGGGGAGTGTTTCTGGTACCGAAAAATGAACATTCAACCTACTTCTCCCTGCATCTGGGTTCGAAGCTGAGTCGGGCGACATTGGATCAGCCGCTGGCTCTTTTTTCTGTTCTCCTTTCTCCTTGGATCTTTGCGGCGACGTTATCTGGGCTTCCACCTTGTTGCCCGCACATCCTCTTGAACAATTCCGGCAGCATTCGCATTTCCAACCCCTCTCAGGTGGTGCTGGCACAAGCCTCCACAGCCAATCCCACCACCTCTCCTCTCTTTTGAACTCCTCGGGCCTTGCATTCCACCTCCGTACTCTACGTTCCTCATCACCACCAATGGCGTAAACATTTCCTTGCGTCGCGTACCATATTGCTGCAATCATAATCTCCTCCACCACGTCCTCCTCCTCAGACGTCCTCGGGGCGTATACCAACGTCCATCCAACAGGCACTGGTAGTCGTTTTTCCATTACGCCATGAAACCAGAACCTGAATATCTTTGAGTCGTTTCCTCCCGCAAGAGGATGCCGCTGCCCCCAACCGGCCTGCAAAACAGTGCTAACATCCTCGGGATGAAGGTTGACATGCAGTGACCCATCAGCTGCGTGAATATGCGCGATCTCTCCCCCCCATTCGTCTCTCGTGTTAACCGTCCCGGCCGTTCTATCACCGATGTCCCTGAATAGTCCACGAATCCCGGCTTCCAAGAAAGACATCTTGACCCTCAAATCTCGGGATGATCTGGCCTGGAGCTTTTTTACCATGTCATTCAGCTTGTAAAACGCGCTGGGTGGCCCTTTCTGGCTGAGCTGCCTTGCAGGTAGCCATCTACTCGTCTTTGGCCTATCTCCCTCTCTTTGTGGAAGACCAAACAGCCTGCCTCGATAGGGAAGCTCATCCTGCTTGACCTTTGGTGGTTCCAGAATGTTGTTCCATCCTGCCAAGAAGTTCCAGAAGACGAGCTGTAGCCAGCCCCCAAAGGTTGGCGGGACATCCTCCAAGGTTAAGGACTCGTATTTGTGAAAGGAAGAATAACATGACCAAACAATGCCTGAAAAGACGTAGTACCGAAATAGCCACGAGGTTGTGAATATGGAGGTGAACCAGTAGGCCAAGACCATTCCAGCTGCGAATGTGCCGGGGGAAGGCTTGAGCCAAAGACCGACAAGAACCGGGACTGAGGCCAGTGAAAAGTCCCATATTACTTCCTCCCAGCTGGTGTAGTGTTGCGGGGCTAGTGTCGCGGTTGCGGCGGTGGTTATGCCAAGGACCCAGAGAGAGGGGTGGTTGAAGGTGTACATCTTGCGCCGTCATCTCCGCCGCCAATAACAGGAGAGGCGTGAAGGGTGTCTTCTGTGGCGACTTGGATGCGATGTTGTGAAGCTCATCAAACAATTGCATGGGGTTTCAAGGTTCAAGCCATGTCTCATAAAGTCATTATGTTCTAGCCATGCGTCGTCTTTGTTGGCCCAGGTGACAGTTTTCTTTGTTCTCATCTACCCCCACACTTGCTTGGATTCAGCAAGAATCGATTCCCGCATACAGCTTGGCGCGAGATCCTTTGTTTCCACCAACGGGGATCTCCGCCATTTTCCATACTACAGCTCAAACACAAGGCCAGTCTCAGGACCATAATGACCGTCTGCCAGCGCTTGCCACCCAGCCTTGTACTTCTCCAGTCCCTTCTCCCACTTGATCTCGATGGCCGGGATGGCCCCGTCACCGGCAAACCGACCCCAGGCAGCATTTTGCGCATTGTAGTAGGCCTCCGCCGATCCAAGGTTTGCGATGCCCTTCTCCCGGATCAACCCAGCGTGGACCTGGTAGACATTGCTGGCCGGATCCATGGCCTTCCCATATAATACCGGGGGCCGAGTAGCCGAGGGGTCAGCTCCTACCAAGAGAACAGTGACATTATCTTCCCCAAACTTCTCGTCGAGAGCGGACGCCCAGGTATCAGCCGCTTGACCCCGGGCAGCAAAATTGACCAACACAATCTTCTGCCCCTTCTTCGCAATCCGCTCAATATCCTCAACCTGCTCATACAAAAGCACCTCATCAAACAGCCCCGTGCTCTCGCTAAACCCCTTTGACTTCTCCGACCCAACACCGATAACCTTCTCAGGCTGTTCGCCCTCCGGCCTGCCCTTCCTCAACTCATGCGCAAACGACAAGCCAGTTTTCCCAGACGGCGCCAGCAAAATCACCACGGCCCCCTTGATATCCGCCTTTTTGGCATCCCAGCCATCTCCCCCAGCGGCACCAAACGGATGCGAGGGCTTGAACCCACCCTCCCAGGCGAAAACATGCTGGTTGAGCATCCACCCCGTTTGCCAGAGGGCATAAAACAACACACGCAACCCTTTGCTCTCGTTTGACTCGTCGCCAAAGACGTGGTAACGGTTGTAAATCGGGTTGAGCCCCTTTCTCAACCCGTCGTCGGGCAGGACGACGTCGTAGTCACCCGGGACGTTCCCCTCTATGAGTTGGATCTCCTCAACTCTGGTGCCGATGGGCTGGTAACCGAACAATTCTGTTCCGACGGGAAGGGAGGGGACGGTGCTCTCTACTACTTCAGAGTAGCCCCATGCTGAGATTCGGCAGTGGGTGTCGGGAGAGACCGTGGCCGGCAGAGGCCAGACGTTCCACCACGCTAGGAGGGGATTCCCGCCGAGTTTGGCGTAAGTGAAAGTGTTTGTTGTGAGCGAGATCAGACGGGTCTGGATGCGGACTGAGGATGGGGCTGTCAAAGGGGTCGAGGGCGAGGGGGCGGGGGTGAGTGATTGGGCGGTGAAGTCGGCTTTGGAGATGATCTGGATTGCATGTGCTTCGGACATCTTGGGCTGAATTCGGCTCGGGGGTTTTTTTTGGTGTGTATTTCCTGAGCTTTTCTTGTGAGTTGATTCGAGTCTGATAAGTCGATGCTTTTTCCTGCTTGGTGATTAAGATCCAGAGAAGAGCCAAGATTTTGAAGCTGACATGAGTCATTGGTGGGGACGGTCAGTTCCACTGTGGTAACAAGGCCTTTACATCCGCCATGTCCGGAAATTCAGCTGGTTGATTACAGATGATACTAAATGGGTGCAAAAGATATTTCGAACCTCCCTGGACTTGCCGAGCTTTTGTTCGATGCATAGAACTGCACATCTTGCTTGCGGACGCGCGTGCTTGCACCACCTCTTGGTGTTTTGCATTCAAATGTGCAAAACTCTGGGTTAGGGTTGTCCTCAATTTCCAGTGGTTCGATGCGCTAGACAACTAGGCACCTTACCATCACTCACCACCGCCTGACTAGCAGCTGACTAGCAGCTGGCCGAGCATTTGACTTTCTGGTGTATAAAATAGATATGAGTCAGCAACCTGTAGAATATAAGATGTGATGGTCTTGGCTTTTGACGCTTTCGTTGGGTCTGATGGTTAGGTAGCGAGAGGGCATATTAGTAGGTAGTCGGAAAAATACTTAGATAGATAGGTGTCAACTGTTGGTGTTGCTCAAGGGAATCTGACTGCATGATTCCACTGCTCGCCAGATACCTGTACACGCTGTGGACAAGAAAGCTGGCACTGTGAAAGGACTGAACTATGCCTCGAAGAATAGTTAATAGACTTCGAAAAGTACTTAATATGTCTTAAAATATAGTTAATAGGCCTCAAAGAATGTTGATAAGGCCTGTTTTCTGTTTGAAAGGGTGTAAGTTGATAGTCTTCATGTATTGTTCTGTCGAGAGAAATCTTTTGCCGTTTTCGGACTCGCTTGCAGGGTGTGTGGTTAATGAGCGTGTTACGCCCCAAGCGTAATACCCCTGTACAGGAACCACTGGGTGGTACCCGAGGTGCTGGGCACCTCAGCCAATCATTGGGCCAGGATGGAAAGACCCACCAGCCCCCGTGCAACCAATTAGGAGTTGCTCAGTCTGCTCAGTCTGCTCAGTGCGCCAAGACCACTGCGCAAATTT